CAGGGCAAAACTTCAGTTTCCTTCAGAGTTCATATTGTATTAAGCAGAAATATTCAACTCACTATGGAAAAAATAGCTGAGCAAAAATTGGGATTATAAGGATTTAGTCAAAAATGATACTTGAGAAAAATCTAAAAACCCAGTTTTTCCTCTGCTGTGCCTCATTCAGAGATACCCAGAGGCAAAAATATATGTTACATTTCTGTTCTATAAAGCTAATCTGAAAGTTTGGTCTTTATTTTTTTTTTTTTTATTGAAAGCCTTTTTTAAAAGGTTTTACTGTAGCAAAAAACAAACAAACAAAAAAAAACACCCAGCAGAAAGCTAAACTGAGTTTTTTGATGTGGGCTGTTGAGCTTCTGGGTTTCTCATGCAGTTAGAAAGTCCTCCAAGACTTTCACATTAAAAGTATTGCATTACTATTTTTCAGGTAATCCTTCAGTTACGAAATTAGAAATTGATAATCTTGAAGAGCCAATGCTCTTCTTCAGATGCTGCTTTGAAATTATTTGAAGATGGCTGCACCTGTATCTTAGCTGTTCAAAGTGATTTCCTTCCTAAATTCTGATTTCCTTCAAAAAACGAATTGCATAGGAGTAGTTCCATGTAGCTGGAAAATTTAAAACATATATCTGCATTCTGAATAACACACATAGCAAGCAGCCCAAATAATGCTGCTTCATTGCACTAGCTTCCATAAATGAATTAGATTCTTGAGCAACTATTAAAAGCTATGGTTTAAGAAAAATGTATATGGAAGGAGTTCTCTAAGATCTATTAGCATAATTGGAAAAACACTATTGCTGCAGTGCGTAATGAGGTCCTCCAAAGTAAAGTTACCTGTGATGTGTGTACTACTCTGAAGTCCATTTTCTTTCATCTTAGTAAAAAGAACAGGAGTACTTGTGGCACCTTAGAGACTAACAAATTCATTTGAGCATAAGCTTTCGTGAGCTACCGCTCACTTCATTGGATGCATTCAGTGGAAAATACAGTATTTTCCACTGAATGCGTCCGATGAAGTGAGCGGTAGCTCACGCTCAAATTTTAGTCTCTAAGGTGCCACAAGTACTCCTTTTCTTTTTGCGAATAAGGACTAACACGGCTGCTTCTCTGAAACCTTTTCATCTTAGTAGAACTCACTCAGCCACTGTACATTCCTTAGCTCCCAAGCACAGCCTCTGACGGGTTTGGGCCCTTTGGGGTGACACCTGATGTGCTGGGGTTTAACTGAATCGGCCTGTTCTGCCAGCCTGGGTTCCCTTTACCTGGTCTTGCTGGGCTAGGCTTACAAGCCTCTTCCAGCCAAGCACACAGGCAGGGCCAAACCCAGCTACAGAGAGAGACTGAGATCCACTCTGCAAAGATTTAGCCTTTGGGGCTTGCTCCAAAACTCTGGTGCCCACTCCCTTTAAAGGGTACAAACCCAAAGGTTTTATGAAATTCGCCCCCTCCCTCAATGTGGAGGGAGATATGCACAACTTCTTGCCCCTTCCCTCCGTTAGAAATTACATAAATTGGGTTATATTATAACCAAGCAATACGTTTATTAATTACAAAAGGTGAATTTTAAGTGAATATAAGAGAGAACAGACAGAACAAAGCAGATTACTGACCAAATAAAGCAAAATATGCAAGCTAAGCTCAATATTCTTAAGAAACAGGTTACAAAATGTAGATTCTCACCCTAAATGTTGTTTTAGGTAGGTTACAAAGTTTCTGTGGTTTAGAGTTCCAATTATTGCTTTTCAGACTTAGGGTGACCAGATAGCAACTGTGAAAAAACAGGACCCGGCGGGGGTGGGTGGGTGGTAGTAATAGGCACCTATATAAGAAAAAGTTCCAAAAAACTGGACATCTGGTCACCCTATTCAGACTGGACCCCTGTCTTGGTCTGGACTCCCAGCCCTACCTTCCCTTCAGGTGGCTTTAGCGGTCTTTCTTCTTGGGCAGACAGGCCATGGAGAGGAGTCCCCTTTGCCTTCTTCCCCACCCTTAAATAGGATTTACATAAGGCGGGAAGCCTTTGCTTCTCAAACTTGACCCCCCCCCCACCCCTTCCCTTCCAGTGGAAAGTTACAAGAAGTCCCAGGTAATGTTTCATATCAGGTGACAAGACCCATGTCTCTGCAGGGCTGTGGCAGCCACTGCTCCTAGGCAGTCTCCAGCATCCATGGGGAGACTGAGATCTTTCACAGTCCATTGTCTCTGCTGATGGCCCATTAGACTTGTCTGGCTTTTCCATTGTTGTACGAGAAGCACTGGTTGGGGGTGACATCCAAAGTAACACATTTGAAATACAGATACGTATTCAATATTCCTAACTTCAGATACAGAAATGATACAGGCATACAAACTGGATAATTGCATTCAGTAAATCATAACCTTTCCAATGATATCTCTCACGGGACCAGTATAAGATTGGATCTTACCAGTATAAGATTGGATCAAAAGAGAGATAATTTGCTTCTTCCTTGCTTCATTGGAACAAAAATTTAGCAGGAAGTCAGTCATTTCATCTTCCAAGCACTGTTTACAAAATGTGTAGACATTGTCTGTTTAAGACTGGATGCGCAGTGTGTTTAGCATTGGAAATCTGCTGCAATGGGACTGATGGGTTACTTCTGGGTTCTGTTCTAATTCTGCCACTGCCTCATTGTGTGACCTCAATCAAGTCTCACAACCTCTGTGTTTCAGTATATCCAGAGAACTTTTTATAGATTGTAACTGACAGTTATGGCCATTTTCTGCAGTATCTTGGATAAGCCTTATTGAATTAAATTTAAGTATCTTAAAAGCTCATTGTGTTAAAAATGCAACTGTTTGTTTTAGAGTGGGATTGTATGTAATTTGTCTAGGAGACATGACTAATGTAAACCTTGGGAAGTGTTATGAGCTTTGAAGCATTCTTTTAAACAATGCTAGGACAAGTATTAACTTGTTAGTTGAGTAGGTTTCCTGGGGGAATGCAAATGCCCACTTCCACCCCGTTTGAAGCTTCTCCATGCGGAGGTGATCTTTGTCTACAAATGACCTATTTCCAGGGTCAAAAGACCCAAATTGCATAAAGGAGTAACTCTCAGGTTCATGAGTGTTCTTGTTCTGAGCAAATGGAGTTATGAACTTGTGGACTGTTCATTGGCCAGAGCACTTGGAGTCAGGGTGATCTTGCGAGTAAGCTTATTTGCATGCTTGTAGGTTCTTTTATTGTCGTTAATGTTCTCTCTGTAATACATTTATTCTTAAGGCAAAAGCGTTTCCTTAGAAAGAGCGTTGTGGCAATTCTCTAAGGAGAAAAGGAAAGCTGGTTGGCTTAGTCAGTATGACTTTGCGGGGGAATTTGCAGTGTAGCCATGGAGCTATGTAGCCCAGAAGTACCCAGGAGAGAGGGAGAGATGTGTCTGCTCAAGAGAGGCAACAGCTGTGGCGCTGAAACCCTAAGGATAGGTCCCTTGCAGGACCACAGAGGGGGAATTGAGGCGCAGTTGCCCTCAGCTGCAACTAACCATTTTTAAAATTGTATGAGAATACTGACCCATATCTCAGGGGGCGTCGAGACTTCGAGGATAAAATCTTCGATGGCTTTTTTTAATGGTATTACTGTATACTTTATTTTTTATGCTATACCTTGTATAAAGATTCAATCACCTTTTTTTCTAGTTTGTTTTTTAAAGAAAGTAATTGGATTTAGATACTCCCTCTGCAGAAATATATGAGGAGTATAGGTAATGCAAGTAATAATGACTACCTAATGAAATAAAGCCTTTAAGGTAAAACATATGTCCTGCTCATAAAAACTGTGATGAAATGAGTGTCAAAACAGGTTAGATAAGTTTACTGTTTTCTGGCAAACCACAGTAGACAAAAACCACAGTATAGCAATTAGGCTAGGTGAAGAAGAGCCCATATTCAGCTCTGATGTTGGTCAACATGAATCAGTACATTTAAATAAAAAATCTATTCAATTGACTTCAGTGGGTAAGTACGTACTTGTTTAGTAAGTCCTAAAGGGCACATTCTGTCCCCTGATAAATGCATATGGGAGCCGTTGGTGCATAATCAAAGACAATATGGACTGTAATTTATTAAAACTGAAAGCACATAAAGCCTAGGATTTTCAAAGGAGTCTGAGGGAGTTAGGTGCCCAAATCCCACTGAATTTGCATCCCTTATGCGCCTTTGAAAATCCAGACAAAATCTCATTTGTTTTTCATTTTTATGGTGTTTATTTACTACATTTCTTTCAGCTTTGGATAGATTAGACTGGTCTGACTTTCTAGGCTCCTGCACTAGTCAAACTCGAGCTTTGTGCATTCCAGTGCTACAGGGGAAAGTTGGCATTTAAAATATTTGTTTTTTTCAGTGTAACATTTTCATGAGTAGTAAAATTTAGTTGTTTAATAAGACTGCCCCTTATTTTTGCAACATCTGATTTTACAGTTTACATTACCTGGCAGTGTCTGCTTTAACATAATAGTAAAGTTCATAATTTTTCAACACGTAATTTATGATTACAGATTTTAATTAGGAAAAAAGTTTTGATTCTTTTCAAGAATACAATTAATGGAATGCCCCCCTGTGATGGGTTGTCACTCCCAGGGTACAGTCTGGAAGCAGGTGAAACCGCTGACTCCCCTAACCATTCAGCTGGGTGGGTCCCTCTCACACTGCTCTGCTGGTGATTCAGCCAGCCTCTCCAGGCCTTGTTATCACCCAACATGACAGCAGATTGCATCACCACCCAACTGAGCTCCCTGAGTGCTTTATCTAAGCCCCTCAAGGACAGACAAAACAAAACAGCAAATTTCCTAGCTCCCCAGCCTTGCACCCTCGCTGGAGGATAAACTTAGTATTATACCATCTTGCACTGCACAGGGATCTGTACAGTGCAAGCTCATTAATACAGTTCGCTTTCCCGTTGATGTGCGAAAGATATGCACAACAAGCCTGTGTTAACCAAGCTGAGATTTTCCCAGACACTTCACTTAAAGACACACTGGTTAACATAAAACAAGTTTATTAACTACAAAAAGTTGTTAAGTGATTATAATGACAGCAAGCAGATCAAACAGCAAACAGATTACCTAGCAAATAAATAAATAAACTGCAAACTAAGCCTGATATACTAGATAGGATTTGAATTAGCAATTTCTCACCCTGACTGATACAAGAAGTCCACCAAGTTTCCATACACAGGCTAGAAATCCCTTTAGCCTGTGACCAGCACTTACCCCAGTTCAGTCTTTGTTCCTCAGGTGTTTCCAGGTGTTCCCTTGTGTGGGGAGTGAGGCCCTGAGATGATGTCACTCCCCACCTTATATAGTTTTTCCATATGGCTGGAGCCCTTTTTTCAAAGCTAAGTTCCCAGCCTAGTTTGTGGAAAAATACAGGTACCAAAATGGAGTTCAGTGTCATGTGGCCTGGTCACATGCCCTTGCATGTCTTGCTGAGTCATAGCAGCCATTACTCATTGGCTGGCTGAAATGTTCACAGGAAGGCTAAGCTCTTCCATGGTCCATTGTCCTTGTTGATGAACCATTGTTGTACCTGAAAGACTAGTTGTGGGTCTTACCTAGAGTAAGCACATTTGAAATACAAATACATTGTCAATATTCATAACTTCAGATACAAAATTGATACATGTACAGAAATAGGATAATCATATTTGGCAAATCATAACTTTTCCAATGACACATCATGTGACCCATCTTGTACAAAAAGATTCATAATTATGTCATTATCATATATATATATATATATATATATATATATATAAAATCATCACTGTGATGAATATGGGGTGCAGTGTCACACCTCCATTCCTCCCTCACTAGAATTACAGGAAGTATATTAATCAAGCACTCTTAATGAAATTATATACCCCATAACCATATTCCTCAAAATCTGAGTTCTGAGCTTTTTCATCTTTTCAAGAATTGCAATCCACAACTGAAACAAGGGGAAGGCAGGTATGCAGTGCTGAGATTGCATATACATTTCTTCTAACTGTGTGGAGCGCTTAATGTTCACGTAGTTAATGGAGAACAAAATGGATGCCAATCTTGCGTCTTTATGAGCAGGTTTGAGCATGGGTTCAGCCTATCTAAAGACAAACAAACCTCCTGTACTTTCAAGAAGCCTTGAATGATGGCTTAGCCACTTTCTGTGATTTGATGATTGGAACTCTTCACTAATAACGTTGCATGTCACTTTAAAATGGAGCCAAGTCACAAATTTTGTAAAAGAGAATGGAATTTACTGAACAGCGTGTCTCTTTGCTGAAATACATTATTATTAAGGCTCCTGAAGAGCCAGAACATGATTCACTTTGCTTCTATCAGCATCTTACAGGCACTAAAAGCCTCAATGGCTTTGAAAAGTAAATCAAAGTGTCTGGATAAAAAAGTCACTGTTATCCATATTGATTGTAATATTATCTTAGTGTTCATTGCTCCTTGGTGTTTATCTAAGATAAAGCAAAATAATATTTGTACTAAAACCACCTGTAGTTGGTTTCCCCATGAAATTGGAATAAAGCTTTTTACCCTGAAATTCTAACGTGTTTGTATATTTTCAGTCACATTAACCAGAAAACCCAGTTTGAAAATCCAGTATTGGAAGCCAAGAGAAAAAAACAGCTAGGACAGACTGATGTTGGCCCTTCAAAACCAGGTACTTTCAGTAGCTGTTTTTCACTATTAGCTGCAGTATCTTTATGAATGAAGAGCAGTCTCAAAAAAGAAGTTTTCTGGGTATTTTATTTCAAGTAGATCTTCATTTTGTGTTTTTCCCATTAGGTTAAATGTTCAGTGTGATCCCAAATAAGTCATTTTTTCCTGACTTCTATTGAGATGAAAACTTGGACTAAATTAACGTGCTTTAGTTTATGGAGTATAGGGAGTCCAGAAGTTAAGTTGAAAAGAACAATTTTAATCAGAATTTTCACATTTCTGGCATTTTGAATGTTTGTTTATGAAACCTTGAAAATGTTGCTTTAATTTAGTTTATTGTATTTAATTCTGTAGCTTTTTCAGGACAAGTTACTGGTTCTGTAGCAGACAGCGGTCAGCTTAGGTCAGCTTGTGTCTGTCACCATCATTAGTAAACTATGCACATATAGCCTTAACAGGCTGCAGTTGGTCAAAGCTCAACTAATGTCTGACTATTGCAAGTTGAGTATGCATCTTCATATCTGAGTGTGTATGTATAATTAATTCCTTAAGGCAATATTAGTGTTTCCTGTCCCCTGGCCAGACCATTTGTAGTCTTCCCCCCCCCCCAAAGAAATTGGGGGGGTTTGGAATGTTTTTTGCAGTTGAAACTGATCTAAGACCTTAAAGTTGCTTAAGCAGCTTAAACCATTCTAATGCTGGTAGTCATCAGCAGCTTGAACATTCCATTTGGTTAGCCAGCAAGGGAGTTGGGAGAGCCAGTCAGAGGGTGGGGGTGAAGCAGCCGCACTGCCCTGTTAGGCTTCTGGCTCTTACCAGTTTTGAATTGGGCCTTGTTAAGAGATTAGAGCACAGAATCAAGGGAACTGGGAATGGAGACATGATAGTTCTAGTTCCAGCTCTGCTGCTGCTCTGCTTTATGGCCTGGGAAAGTCTTTTCACCTGTCGGTTCCCTTAGCCCATCAGTTAAATGTGGATAATATCAGTGGCCTAGCGACCTATTTCACAGTGGTGTTGCAGGGATTAACTACCCTTTGTAAAGTGCTTTGTGCATGTAAAGCATTATAAAGCTGTTTTAATGCACTCTTGTGGTGTATATGCACACAACACATCTGAATGCATGCCTGAACACTTACTAAGGAATATGCATGCTCCAACACAGTTTTCAAATGCTCCTAACATTGTCAAATCAAAGCCAATTTTTTTCAAACTGAGTACAGACACTAACCCTCACAGTGGGTTATAACCATACCTACTTTCAACCTTTAGTCCTTTCAAAACTGTCATTTGATTTTTACAGTGAAAAGGTGCCTGTTTTCCACTCTTCCATAATTTCAGAAGTTGTTGTTGGTTTTGGTTAAATGTTCAAAAATTTCCTCTTGCCCCATCCTGTTTTGCAACCTTATGTGTATTCACAGTCATGTGAATTGGGTATTTTCAACCACCCTTTTTTCTTACCTTGTTAAACTATCTGGACTTACTTATGGGTCATTTCTTAGCAGAATTGCTGATGATGACAGATCATAGAATCATAGGACTGGAAGGGACCTTGAGAGATCATCTAGTCCAGTCCCCTGCCTCATGGCAGGACTAAGTATTATCTAGACCATTCCTGACAGGTGTTTGTCTAACCTGCTCTTAAAAAATCTCCAGCGATGGGGATTCCACAACCTCCCTAGGCAATTTATTCCGGTGCTTAACCATCCTGACAGTTAGGAAGTTTTTCCCAATGTCCAGCCTAAACTTCCGTTACTGCAATTTAAGCCCATTGCTTCTTGTCCTATTCTCAGAGGTTAAGAAAAACAATTTTTCTCCCTCCTCCTTGTAACAGCCTTTTACATACTTGAAAACTGTTATCATGTCCCCCCTCAGTCTTCTCTTATCCAGACTAAATGTGTTGACTTCTCTTTAGGTGCAGAACCAGAGAAGTCACTCTTCACCAGAGATCCAACCCAACTTACAGGAGCCCTCTTACGGACATCATTGAAGAAAAGCACTATGGGATTTGGTTTCACAATCATTGGTGGAGACAGACCTGATGAGTTCCTCCAGGTGAAGAATGTGCTGAAAGACGGACCTGCTGCGCAGGATGGGAAAATCGCACCAGGTGAAGTAGCATTTCTCCATTTCAAGCTTGGCCAAAAGAGAGGGAAGCAGTTGATGGGCCATGGGGAATTAGATGACTCCACCTGCAGACATTCTTTTTGAAACGTTCTTTTTACCTGAAGCTGTTGTTTATCAGAGTGGGGAAAATATTATGCAGTGTCTAAAACCCTCAATTAGAAAAGAAGTAATATGTTAATACAAATCCATGTTTTGGAAATTTGTGAGAGTTCAGTGGTTCTGTCTATTGCAAATCTTGTGCTGCATGTTACAAAAGATTATTGTCAAGCTCCACCAGTGGGCCACTTGAAGGATTCCTTGAACCTATCGTGTTCATTTTATTGTTTGTTTGTGTCAGTACTTCCTGTTTGGAGCTCCATTGTGCTGGGCAACACATGTAGAAAGTAGCAGTCCATTTCCCCCAAAGCTTATGATCTAATTTAAGATAAGACTCTACAAATGAGTATAACAAACAGAGTAGAGGAGGGATAATTGGATAATAAATATTTATTACATTGTAGTCCTTAATGAGCTAGCTCAAGGTGATGGTAGTATGAATGTTAAACCTTGCTGCTTATGTGTGGTGTTGTCATGGCATAAATTATAATGTGAGTTATTTTTTACAGTATTTGTTTCGTGAGCTTAGTTTCCTCTGCCAATCGTGGTTAATTGTTCCTAATAAAATTGGAGCTGGTAGGCTGAGAATTTAAAAGGTTGAAATTATACTGTTCTATAATGTTTCTTTCTTTTGAGTCTTCTTAGCTTCCAGGGTTTTGATGCTGAGGCCGTGTGCAATGTAATAATATTCCAAAGACAATTAGTTTTGTTAAAATAGTTACTGAATCGAGAGAAGTATGTAAAGAGATTTTCTCAAATAGTTTTAACATTATATTGGACTGGCTTCTTACGATGATTTGGCCTGTTTTGTATACTTCTCAGTCTAGTATGTATGTTGCCTAGTCACAGCTAAACTATTGTGATTCTGCCTCTAGTACAGTGATACTCAGACTGAGTCTCGCAAGCTGCAATTGGCTCTTTGCAGCACATATTAAAACACACTGCTTTAATTATTAACCAATCAGAATGTTTTTACTATCTTATTAACTAATTGTAATTGATAAAATGCTTGGTCAGTCATTTTGCTCTGAGAATAAATATATATAATATATAAAAACTATGTATTTCCCCCATTATACTGTTTAAATATGAAACTATAGTACTATAGTAAATGAAATAATGAATTTACGCTACTGTGTTCTTGTGGTTAATGCTGATTGTTAATGTGGCTCCTAAACCCCTGAGGTGTGAGTATCACTGCTCTGGTATTCGGTATCAGTTAGATTTCTGTTAATGTAGGCCATGTACAGATTACATCGTACATGTTGATTTTTATAGACCACCACAGTCTTCTTTAGGATTCTTGGAAAGTCTAGCTTCCACATACGATAAAATTTATTCATTTTGTCTAGTGTACAGTTTTTACCATTTTAAACACATTTAGTCATATGGATACTTTCTTGAGTTTTCCGTTCTTTTCAACAAATGATTATTGCTACAAGATGAATAATTTGTGTGACTATTCCGTTGGTATCAGTATGTAATTTTGTTTTCTAACCTGGATTAGATTTCTTAATGATCTAGCTTGAAACTCATTTGCTTGCCAAGAGAGGCTTGAGGAACTCCAGTCACCAAGTAACTGGCCTTCCATTGGAGCAGTGGATTGTTTAGATTAGTTTAGTTGCTCCTGTGCTTTGTGACAAGAGGCAACCCAGTGTTTCCATTTCTGTACAACTAGTGCCATGTTTCTTGCACCATTGTGATCCGTTTCCATGACAATGACATCTTTTCAATGGTTCTCTTATGTGTTATCTATTGTCCTCCTCTTTTCCTTCTTCCATCAAGTGGTATGCAGTCAAGGGCTTCTCTAAGAGTACAAAAAGAAAAGGAATACTTGTGGCACCTTAGAGACTAACAAATTTAATTGAGCATAAGCTTTCGTGAGCTACAGCTCACTTCATCCGATGCATCCGATGAAGTGAGCTGTAGCTCACGAAAGCTTATGCTCAATAAATTGGTTAGTCTCTAAGGTGCCACAAGTACTCCTTTTCTTTTTGCAAATACAGACTAACACGGCTGCTACTCTGAAACCTGTCATTATCTAAGAGTACAGGTTTTGACATCTGCACAACATGCCCAAACCACTTCACCATTCTTTCTTGAATCGTTGTCTCTACAATCTGTTGGCCAGTCCTTTGTAATCATCAGCCTTAGGGACTTTAGACCACCACAGACACCAAGTATTCTCCGTAAGCCTCTCTGATGGAATGTATTGTCTTGTATCCGCATTGTTTCCATAAGTGTAACTTTACGTGGACAGATAGTTATCCTGACTCACAACCGCAGGCCCAGGCTCCTCATTCAATATATTCAGAGCAACTCATACCATGTTCAGGGTACCTTTATCTGTCACTGGTGGAAGTGCCTGGTAGTTTTGGATTCCCCAGATTTGGGAGCAGTGGGCCATTTTGCTACACCCACCCCACTCATTCAGCCAACATCTGTCCAAACTGACTGTCGCAAGGGTGATAAGTTAAGGGCTAGTTTCAGAAGTTGCTGATGTGCCACTGCCAGCAGCTATGTTTGTATGCCAGATCCTTAGAATCATTCAAAATATTTCCTAAAATTAAAATATAAAAATAAAAATTAAACTTTATAATAATCCTTTGCACTCGTGCCGCACCATTTTTGCAAGGATCTCCATGTGCTTTACAAATCCCCTGTTAAGTGGTTTTGTTCTCATCTTACATGTGGGTCACAGAGAGGTGGAGTCATATGGCCTAAGTCGCCCATTGAGTCAGTGGCAGAGACAAGGATAGATTCCGTTCTAACGACTGAACCTCACAGCCCTTCTTAAACATGTAAAATAGATGGAAAGTGTGTTAAGGATGTGGAGGTTATCTTGCAGAGGGAGCAGAGCTTGGGAAGACATGCTGATATGCACAGAACAGTGGGTGCTCTCTTCTCTCACTCCTCCTTTCTGTGGCAACCTTGGTGTGAAAGGGAGGAAGAAATAAGGCAAAGGTAAAAGGAAATATAAAAAAAAACTTGTGAAAAAAAGTGTTAGAAACTTAGTGTGTTAGTGAGATGTTTAGTCCTGAGTATTTGAGATGTGTGTAAACTATACATCTTATCTTTCTGTATGGAGAAGACAGGAGAAGCAAGGACAGCAGGGACTGGATGCTACTAGCTATTCCTTCTGTGTAATAAGTAGGAATTTTTCAGTCCATGCATCATTCACAACTCTACTTTGATTCCATAAAGGCAATACACTTTTCTAAACAAAAAAAGAGAGGGGTGTACTTTCTCTATGCTGCTGCTGCTGTCTGGAGAATAAGATCTAGTGGAACATTGCGTTTCATTTCCATTGCACAAATTCTGTCAATCACTGAGCAACATTTTTCAGCTCAAAGGCTATAAATAAGATGAGAGTTTTTTGCTGGTAGTTGGACGTGATGCCTATGCTTTAACAAAACTTTTTCAAAATCCGTGTCACTTCAGTGGCTTTTACTTTCTAGTGGTCCCATACATTGCTGCTAATCCACCTGCAGTATGTGTTGCCTGTCAGTTTTTCCTACCAGGCATTTGTAAGGCAAGGAATCCAATAAAGAAAGCACTCAAAGCACATGTAGGCAACACTTGCAGTGAGAGTGGTTCCTGTGCAGTATGTGCAGTAAAAATAAACGTTGGTGATTCTAGCAAATCACACACTGTGCTCTGCTATGCTTGAAGTGACTTAGCAAGGATTTCCTGTTTTGTGGACAGCACTTGTTCTCATAAGCTGCAGGCATTTGTAGGGAATGTCTGTGCTTACGTGTCTTTAATGCGCACATCCCTGTACTATGGATTCTCTTGAACTGACAGCTGTAGGTTATGTTACTGTCTCTCCAGTTTAATAAAGGAACAGAATTTGTATAGCTTACTCTTTCTATTTAAGTATATTTTCCCCCTCCATGATGATGCAATACTGATGCCATCATAAAGTTCTTAGTCCATTGCCATGAAATACAAGCTCCACAGCATGAAGAAAAAGGAAGCAAAACTTAACATCGACATCTACTTCCTGAGCAAACGCAAGAAACAAAATATCCTCCCCTGAGGGCTCACTATCTATAACCCTCTGATCACTACATACAACTCCAAATATAGTGAACAGCTCTGCAGAAGGTCTTCAGAAAAACTGAGGAACCGTCTCCTGCACTTCACGTACTCCAGAAGGGACACCTCAAACAAGAAATCAACACATACTCCCATACACTGGAAAGAAAAAATCAGGAAACCTACCTGGAGATCATGAAAGAAACCCAAAACTATTAATTAAAAAAACAACAACAAACAAAAACCCCAAACCTGGTGACAGTTGTCCAGCACAGAAACAAAAAGTCGAACCAGCTACAACAACTCCACAACCCACAGAACACAAACACTGGGCAAAACCATGGCACCAGGACCCACATGGACACTACACAAAACCCCAACATCATCGATTTATTAAGACTATGCAACCGGAGCTAAATTATCTGTACTCCCCAAGTGATTGAACGACTGCCCTACCGCAGAACCTGATACCATACTAACGTGGAGAGCTAGAAGAATTCTTTCGATGACTCCGCCTCAAAGAATTCTTTCACAGTAATGACAACACCACCCTCACCTACCACATCCCCATCAACAGTAAGAAGAAAAAAAGAATCATCTGACTGGACACCCCAAAGTGGATGAAACCACACACTTAATTATTACACTGATTGCTTCAGGAAAAAAATTGACATTGAAATCCTTAACAAAGATCACATCACCACAATCTCTCCACTGCAGAGAGGACAGCTATGCAGTCCCTGAAATCCAACCACCAGATAGTGATCAGATCAGCAGACAAAAAGGGTGCCGTCATAGCTCTGAACTGTGATGACTGTCCGTGAGGCTAGCCAACAACTTTGACACCACCTACTATACAGACCTCAAAGACCACCCCTCACTACAGTTCACCAGGGAACTGAAGGATATCAAATCCTTCCCCAAACAACTCCCAGGAGAAACTCTACAACCTCGTCCTCCAGAAACCTATCCCAGGGACCTTCTACGTGTTTCCCAAAATACAAAGTAGGGAACCCAGGTAGACCCATCATATCTGGCCACAGCACACTTACTGAAAGAATATCAGGACTCATAGAAACCATCTTCAATCCACTCAGCACAAAAAGGGCCAGCTTCCTCCAGGACACACCCTACTTCCTACAGGAACTCTGCAATGTTAACAGTCTCCCTCAGAATACCATGCTTGCCTTTATGGATGTCACCTCCTTACACACCACCATCCCTCACAATGACAGCATCTCTTTCTGTCTCTGATATCTACCCAAAACACATCAGCAAACTCATCTGTTTCATCCTTCACTCATAACACATCCCTCACTCATAACAATGTTACCTTCAATGACAAACACTTTGTCTAAACCATGAGAACAGCCATGGGCACTAGGATGACTCCCCAGTATTCCAGACTCTTTATGGACCACCTTGAGGAAGAATTTCTGGACAAATGCATTATGAAACGAATGATATACCTGAGATACATCAAAGGTATTTTTATCCTCTGCGCAATGAGCTGCACTCCCTCATAGATTTCCACCACAACTTCAAGAACCACCACCCATCCATCAAACTCTCTCTAAAACAATCCCCCACCGGCATCAATTTCCTGCATACCACAATCAGCTTCAACAATGGGACCCTACAGACAACTATATAGAAGAAACCCAAGATCACTAAGCTTACCTTCACAGATCCTGTAACCACCCCAGAGACACTAAGAAATCTGTTGTCTATAGCTAGGCACTTAGATACCACAGTATTTGCTCTGAGGCGAAAGTCCTGGATACACACATTAACACCCTTAAAACCGCCTTCATCAAGCAAGAACACTTTACCAAAGAAGTAGATCACAAAATACCCCAAGAGAATCTGCGTCAATATAGGAAGGAAAAACCCTCTGACTGCACCCTGCTAGTTATCACCTCCCACCCACACTGGAACCCAAACCAGGGTATCATTAGAGTTACAACTCATACAACACACACAGAGAAGGTGGAAGTTGCCATACAAACTGTAAGAGGCTAATTAGTTAAGATTCCACCTTGTATTTAGTTCTGACACTCTGAGTACTTTTCCCAGACCTGAAAAAGAGCTCTGTATAGGTCAGTAGCTTGTCTTTCACCAGTAGAAGTTGGTCCAATAAAAAATATTACCTTACCCATCTTGTCTTTCTGGTCTGTTGCCAGGCAGACATTGTACTGGATGCCACATGCCCTATTTACATGCTTTTAGTTGCTTGGCAGTGTCAGATATTTTGATAGCACTTTCAGTAGCGTGAGCAATCCTGGGCCTTTGCATCCTGAAGTGTCCACTTAAATTCTGCAAAGAAAAAGGAAAGTACAAATTGTACAAATATATATACATATGTTTTAATTGAGCAGGAAGAGGGTTGGTTCCCACATAAATGCTTAAGGCTCAACTTTTCTGTTAGGAAAACCAAAATTTGTTGTCGGCAGCCTCACACACTCAAATGACCCTATAACAACAAATCTATGTACACACGTGCAGCTTAGCCCTTGGCCACGAAGCCTCCCGATGAAGGAAAAAATCACAAGGAAGTAGGTTTTGATTTTCAGTTTCTGTAAGCCCTGGTTAATAAATAACAATGAATAATAGTAAAATAACGAATTCCCTGAGTGGCCTTTATAAGAAACAAAAAAATTATTCAGGAACAGCCTTTTCCTTTCAAAGGCACATGCACTAATCACCATTTTAAAGGACTGGGGTGACTTCAAGACTAATAACATCTGCTCTTTCAATTCTTGATTTTTTTTTTTTCTACTCTCCTTTTCCAGTTTGGGGCTGGGATGGGTCGCAGCTGCTCTTCATTCTTGCAGGATTTTCTAATTTTGGATTCTGGTTTATCTTAACCATGCATGACATAACAGCGGGCTTATGTGACATTGCATATTATTCTTGGATATTTAAATTGCTTACAAGAGGGCTGTGGAAACATTTGCCTTAAATCTTCCTTAGCTGTGTTGCTTGTTCCTCCATTTTTCTTAAGTTCTATCTCTCTCATTTAATTTAAATTTAAAAAAAGTATAAAACAGCTTGTCAGTATATAAGTGCAATATGCATTCAATTACCAAGTTATCTGAATGAAACACGTCCTATGGCTTGCATGTGGTCTAGTGATTAGAGCACTGGTCTGGGACTTGGGAGACCTGAATTCGATTCCCGGCTCTGCCTCTAGCCTGCTGGGTGACCTTGGGAAAATCACATTTGCTCTGTGCCCCATATTCCCTATCTGAAAATTAAGATAATGATACTGATATCCTTTATAAAGCACTTTGAGATCTGCTGATGAAAAGTGCTATATAATAGATAGGTGGTGGTATTTATTCCATTAATACTTCTGAATATATGGCCTTCTCCCTGGAAAGTAACCATTTATTTCAGCTCTACTTCTGCTTTTTATAGCTATACATAAGTATATACTCTTCTGTATTAACAGCTTCATAAGGACTTATTCAGTCTCATTTATTGAATGTTTCAGAGTAGCAGCCGTGTTAGTCTGTATTCGCAAAAAGAAAAGGAGTACTTGTGGCACCTTAGAGAATAACAAATTTATTTGAGCCTAAGCTTTCGTGAGCTACGGCTCACTTCATCGGATGCATTATTTATTGAATGGTTTCTGCTCCCTGTATACGTGTAATGTAAAAACAGTGCATTTTCTCTGCCTGAGAGCGAATTTGGATCCAGGTCTATGTTGTGAATTGTCGCTGCCAAAAGTAAAATGCCAAATGTTAAAACTGACAGTGGAACAGCAGTAGGAATAAATAAAGCAACACAGAATGGGCAAATGGGGAGGCAGGAGAGGTGAGAAAACCCTGCACAATGTGAGGAATTAAGCACATTGTGGATATTAGTTACATTGGTTTAATTAAATTTGTCTCTGGAACCTATAATTTATACTGCCTTCACTAAGATGTGTTCCCATACCTCTGTGTATTGGATAACCACTCTTACTGTTCTGGTAAGAAAATAACTTTATACTTAACTTTAATACTAATTCAAATAACAAAAGAACTTAGTAACTAATTCGTAACTCTGCTGCTGACCTGTTCTTTGACCTTGGCAAGCTACTTTTCTTGTCTTTCATTTTCCCAATATGTAAAAATGAGGATAGTACCTTACCATTATTGTATAGTGCTTTCACATCTTCATATGAAAAATGGTATGTCTGTACATATTATAATTATTGTTATATAAGAGTTATTATTTTGGAGACAAAGAAGCCTAAGTGTCAGAGGAGTAGCCATGTAGTCTGTCCGGTGGCACCTTAAAGACTAACCGATTTATTTGGGCATAAGCTTTCATGGGTAAAAAACCCACTTCTTCAGATGCATGGAGTGAAAAGTACAGATACAGGCATAAATATATATTGGCACATGAAGAGAAGGGAGTTACCTTACAACTCACTGGAAATATTTCCATGCTCAAAAATGTACACATGCTGAAACAGACTTCCAAGATGTAACACTTGCTGCTATTTAATATGCACAGATGAGAATGTATTTTCAGTCAAAGCAAAAGCAAAATACAAAATTTAGAGAGGCGCTCAGGGAACTGTGTGTAGAATCTAATTTAAGTTTAGCCAATCCAACAGAAACCAGAAAAAAAATCTGATTCATTCTGGATTGAGTTTAGACTGTTGTATAACATGAATTAAAGTATAAGACAGCTACTTTCACTAATGTATGCACTGTTTCCTTTTCTGAGGCCCATATAGTGTCATTCTCTAAATCTTTGGCAGATTACATTTTATATATTTAGAAGAGTGTCTTTTTAATTTAGTAGTCTATATTTCAACTAAGAGAAAAATCTTAGCCTTCTGGTAGTATATGGCTAAGGGGAATGACATGACCCCCTATTCATTAATATCTTAAATAATTGCCCATAAACTTGCTTTGTAGTTACTAAGGGGGTGGTCAGTGTTTCATTCTGCGCCTTAGATTAGAATATTTGAAAAGTAGATATGGTTTAGTTTCTGATTTTAATGATGTTGAACTCATTTTTATAACAGGTGATGTCATTGTAGACATAAATGGCAGCTGTGTCCTTGGCCATACCCATGCAGATGTTGTTCAGATGTTTCAGCTAGTTCCTGTCAACCAGTATGTGAATATGACTTTGTGTCGCGGTTACCCGCTTCCTGACGACAACGAAGATCCTGCTGTAGACATCGTTACAGCTACACCCATCATCAATGGCCAGCCAATGACCAAGGGAGATATCTGCATAACCAGCCAAGATTTAATACCTGGAACAGTCATTTTAGACCAAAATGGGAAACCGGGTCACATTTTGGTTAATGGTCGCCTGAACAGCCCTTCCATGGACCCAAAGGAACAGAGGATATCCGTATCCACTCCAGGAGGCTCCCAGCCAGAACTAATCACTATTCCTCTGGTCAAGGGCCCTAAAGGATTTGGGTTTGCAATTGCAGACAGCCCTACAGGGCAAAAAGTGAAGATGATTTTAGACAGCCAGTGGTGCCCTGGCCTTCAGAAGGGGGATGTAATCCAAGAGATTTACCATCAGAATGTGCAGAACTTGACACATCTGCAGGTGGTGGAGGTGCTGAAGCAGTTTCCAGTGGGAGCCAATGTCCCACTTCTTATCTTAAGGGGAGGTGGGTAGGAATGAAACTTTATTATAATTTATCCTGATATGAAGGTGTTTAGAAGGTGATATCTAAGCTTTACTGTACAAAGCTTTAAAAAGTAGAAAATGGGCTGTCAGCTCAATTCTCTACCCTGCTCTAGCTGTAAACCATGCCTCTGGTATTGAGCATGTTATTAGTTTTATGTTTTACTGCAGATTTGATTGTAGACTGCTGCTGAATGTAGTCTGTTCTGGCTCTTCAGGAAATATTAGGGCAAAGGTGCACATCCCACAGTCTGACCTGAAGATAGCAGGGAATAGGGCTTTTTCTTTCTCCTTTTGAGAGTGGTCCAGAGACTCTGGCTTATACTGTGAAGGTGATCACAGGTGTCTTGGAGGGAAGCATCTTTAAGGTAACATTGGCCTTGCCACCTGGAACTCTGGAAAGTTCTCCTTTTTGTGTGTATTTATCTCTCTTAATTGCTGTTCATTGCAGATCAGAACGTCTCCTCTCCCCATAGACTAACTGGTAATTAGCGTGCATTTGCCAGAAGGCTCAGTCTGATGGCTGCCAGACAGGATCCTTTCTCTGCAGTTTCCTGGTTATTAATGAGCTCATTGGTGCCCTCTACAACTTGTTTATTCTTCTGTTTTTTTTATATCTGTTGTTTGATTTCTGAGACTATTCATACTGGTATTACTTATAGTGACTTAATACTGAGTACATTGCATTTTGCTGCCATAAGATATCTTGCTGACATTACCTCACCCTTTATGTTGCCAACAGAGACAAAGGAAATGGGCACAGGCTGTTTTATCAAAGACCCCCACAGCGGTTGCTGCTGATTCACACTATATAATCTCAGCCCACAAAATAATTGGCCCTTTTTGAGGATATGAGATGCAGTAACCATAATAATACTTTGCATTTATATGGCCTAGTTTGTCCAAGCATCTCAAAACACTTAATTATTCATAATAATGTTGTTTACACACATTAACAAATTAATCCTTCTGCCCCCTGGTGCCTCTAAACAAACGGAGACCCACAAGTTAGTGATTTATCCAAGGTCACACAGTAATTCAGCTTAGTCAGGAAGAGAACCAAGAATTCCCCCTTCCCAGTTCTCTTCTCCAGATCATACTCCTAAGGGATGTCTCTGTTCTCTGTTTCTGAGCAGCTGATGTTTTTATTGGAATGAACTCTAGAATGTTCTTCATGTGAGTATTCTATGCAAATGGGGCATCTTTTCTTTTATCTTGAGAAACTTTTATCTACTTCACTCTTTTGTTTCTCTCCGCTTCTCTGGACACCCTGACAGCACCTTTCAGTGCGGCAGATAAACCATAGTAAAATATCATTCCCATACCATTGTTTATGCCCATCTTGCTGTGTTGTTGAGATTTTAGCATTCCACTGAGAGGAAAAATGCTGATCTGATTTGCTTTTCCTGACTAAACAAACACAACATTCACTTCCCCTCTAGGGCCTAGTGTAAGGTATAGGCTCACTACCTATTAATACTCTGTGGATAGTGTGCTGGAGACCAGCATAAAGCTACATCTTTTCTGCTGAGAGGCAGAAATCAAGTCCAATGTTCATTTCTGCGTGCTGGGAGGGCAGAATTCAGTTCAACTGTAGCTTCTTCCATGCTGACTAGTGGTCATAAAGGGTAAGAAGGACACTGTGCTGAGAGAGTGGACCGTGCTGGTGTAGTCAGTTTAGTCACCAATCCTGAAAGCCCCCTTCTACCCTCACCACCCTGAATAGACCATGAGTACTAGTGACTATAACCATATCTGCCAACTGCTCAAACAAAACACTAAAAGTAGAGAGACAAGTAACACATTTGCCTAATTCCTATTAACGTGATGTGGAAAGAAGAATAGGCAAGGGCCTGATCCAAAGCCCAGTAAACAAATAAATGGATTCCCATTGACTTCAATAGTTTTTGGGTCAGAGCCTGTAAGATCAAGCCAACTGTCACATTGACATCTCCTTTTTATTAATATATCTCCATCTAGAAAGCTACTAGAGATTCAGCATTGTTGGCCCTGTGGGAAGCATAACAGAGCCTTGTTAGTGATGACCTGTATTATAGAAACTTGTTTGCAAGGTGAGATGTGACCCTTAGAGCCCCTTTCAGGCTCTTCTTCCAGCCTCAGGAAAACCACCTCAAAACACATGCCTAACATTTGCAAAGACACCAAAGTCTTCACAATATTAGTGTTACCATTTCCAGTTTGACTAGCAATGAGGGGAAAAAATCAGATTTCTTTGGTAGTAAATAATGTTCTACTTGCCAAACTCATTAACTTGCCTCAGCACATTAATCGGAGTATGTATTCTCAAACCACAGGCCCTGGCAGCATGAGAAATGTGTGGTGTTTCATTTTAGTGCTGTTAGTTGCAGTTTAAGGGACCTCTGCTAGTTGATATTGTTGGCCAAGTAAATATTCACTTAGAATTTTAAAAGAATTATAGAACATTTAGCAAACCTTGTGCCTTCACAAGGGGAGTGAATGTACAGTGATCAGTTGCAAGCCAAGAATAAGAGCTGAGCATATTGGCTCTGTTCAATGTAAAATAGTGGGTTCTTAATCATTAAAGTTGCTTCTTATATTCAGATATTTTCCTCTGTTTTCTTTAGGTCCTCCTTCACCTGCTAAAACTGCCAAAGTGGTGAGTATTGATGTCATCCACATGATTATATTTATTGTGTTTAGTGTGGATGGACGGACTTGATTTTCAGGCACACAATAACAGATTCATGGGTCTCCATGGCAGCCTGTTAACTAACTTTACTGCTCCGTGAGTTCTTCTGTGTGTTCAGGCACAGGTGTCCTCTGATTGCCAGACAGGCATGGAGTGTGCTACAATAGACACATCTGTGATCTCTAGACCATTTATACAAGATGCAGGGGGCTCCTACAGTCTATGCCAGGCTGTCTGTGGTTTTTAGTTACCCCATTACAGATTGCTGTTGATTTTTTTTCTGATTGTTTGGCTGGAGGTTCTGCTTGTTATCTCTCTAAGGATAATTTTTTCAAAATGCTATTTGGCCACAAACAGATCTCCAGTGTATCTGGTGAAATTCTCTATATTTACCCTCTACCTCATGGGAATAAGCAAGATCAATTCTTAAGGATCATAGTTTATTATGCACATCACATCAGGTACATGAAACGGATCCTCATTTCATTGACAGTGATTGTTAGTGGGGGGAGAGAGGGAAGCTGCCTTTGTGTGTCCTGTCTAGGAACTCAAATAACTTGATTATTGTGGGTTCTGCTTTCTTTCCTTCAAAATGTAGGGTTTTTTATATTGATAGACAACATAGGAAACAAAGCAGCCTTCAGCACATCTGTGACTTTTCTTTAAAGAACCTACATTACTTAAGGAGAAGCTGGATCAGTCATCTCTCACTATCAGAGTAGGAATCATTTCCAGGGTTCGTGTTTCAGGGAAGAAAAAGTAAGGTGCAAAAGAGCTTGATTGTGAGGCTGCAAGTAGCATTGGTGGTCTGTAGGTAAATGCCGCATTGTAACTCCAATGTCTTCATGTTCTCAGATTTGGACACTTGCACCTCACCTGAAAACATGTATTTATTTTTTAAAAATAAGTAAACCCATAGTTTAACATCTTCCCATGTGCTTACTTTATTCCATTTTCACAACCGGCTCTCTCACCCTGATCTCCTTGTAGGAGTCTGCAGTGATTATTCTTTATCAAAGCTTTGTTGCCTGACGCAAATTAATTTCCCTATGTAAAGGCTGTCAGGATGGCTGTTGAAGGGAAAACAACACATAAAGTTTCATTTTTCTCTTGCTAATTGCCTGCATCGTGTATTCAAATTTTCTTTTATAAGTTTGCATTTTACTTTCTTGGGAGAATTTTGTTTTGTTCGATGAGAAACCTCCAAAAATGAACTTCAGTGTTCCCCACTTGAATGCCTAGTTTATCACCATTCCTGTTGTGTTTGAATGGGCAGTCTATATTTTCCCAGAGTCATCAAAGTGTCTGTATTTCTGATATTCATGGTTGTAAAAGATTGGTCCACTAGGAATATCTTTGATTTAAATTGGATCTGGTGGAAAGAAAATTGTACAGCCTTTGGCTTAATGAAATACACTGGAGGTAAGAATAATGGTTGTTAATAGGGATCTGTATTATGATGTTGTGGAAGAGACTGCTTTTCAGCATGGGGTTCATTGTATGCCCTTCTAATGGTGGTGGGGGGTGGGGGAAGCCTTCAGGAATTGAGTCATTTCAGCAAGAAGAATTCTTGTGCATTGCAGTTCACTGCATTTTAACAAAATCTCCATTCCCAAGGTATAGAAGTAAATTCTTTCTCCACCATGGTTGCACTGTGCAAATACATTAATTCATTTCTAACCTGAAGCCAAGGCTGTTGCTGACAGTTAACAGTGGAGATAACATGAGGATGTCAGCTCTCCACATTTAAAACAGAGCATATACTGCAAAAAAATTGCTAATTTAATTCCTAAGCAGAAATATAGCTGCTAAAAAGACATTCCCTGAATAAAAACTTTGCAATATAAAAATGCACTATGTGCAGACCTCCTAAAAATACTTAGGAAATAACATTACAGTGCATGTGCAGTCGCCGTTTCCCTGAACAAAACCCAATGCTCAGTGGCATTAATTCACATCGTGAGCTAGTTCAGTTAAAAAAGGCGAGGGTCTTATGTCTATAAACATGTAAAAAGTCTCAAACTATTGAATCCTCTGGGGGATTTTCTTCTGCTCTCAAAGGGGCAGACCTGAGTCTAGTCTAATTTTGTTTGTGTTAAACACACACATGCACTGCCACACGGAGACTTTTCCGCCTAGAGCAAACATTTAAAGTCATCTTGCTGTATCAACCTTTGGAAATGAGGATTTGAAACCACAAAGATGGCTGTAATGTCACTTCTACCTGTAGTCCTTCCTGCTATAACATCGAAGGGAGGAATTCTAAGTGTTTCAAGTTTCTTAACTTCGTTTAATTCCTCCTGAATATTTTCCTTCTTATTCAGGGAGATTTCCTTCCGAGCAGGAGGTGTTTGTTTACACGACTTTAGAGAGAGGCAAACGAGCAGAACCTGGCTTGCTTGCAAAATCAAAATCTCAGTTCTGCGCTAACCAATACTGAGGTTCTGCATAGAAACTAGAACAGGGCTCTAGATTTAAAAACTTCCAGGGTGCAGCAAATGGATGAAACTGGGAGCACTGATTTAGCAGAGACCATTAAGGACAAGTAATAAGACATCAGAAAATCAACCTTAAACTTATCCCTTGGTTTCCTGCTGTATCTCAGGGTTCTTTTAGGATTCAGATTTTAGAACACAGGTGGATATTTGTTCTCTCTACTGCAGCTTCGTAGCTCAGATGTTCAGAAGAAGTGCCTCTATCTACCACTCAGTGGGTTTGTTCGACTACTGCAGTTTGGTGAATTCCAATTCATTACAAAAGTTAGACGTGCTAAACAGATCCACTTCTTTTGAAAACCTGACACTGATCACTGGAGGAAATGGTTGAGAGAGTTCATGCTTTTTCACGTGCACTAATCCCTTACTTTCTAGTTTGAATGAGTTAGTGTAGAAAGTGTTCAGTTGCCATTATCTTGCAGAAGTTAAGTAGCTGCAGAACTCCTTATCTCTATGCTGTCCATCTGTACACTTTTCAGAGATCAGCACCTCCGTGACGGGGCAAGATTTCAAGATAGATACTCAAATTATTTTCAGTTGTAGCGGCCAAATTAACCTAGAAGAGAATCCTTGATGATGTTTTCCACCTTCAGATGGAACAAATGAAATTAACATAGTTCAGTGACTCTCCGGAAGAAGATTGTCTTTTTATAGACATACCTCCCTGCATTTCACTCTGAAAGCAATCAATCAGCAGTTATGTTCAAGGACCACTTAATGAAGTTTGTAGTTAGTGTAATTTAAACTGACTGACTGGGGCAATGTAGACCATGGACTCAAACTTTTTCATAGCATGGAATGCATTTTAATAGTGGCTTGTGTTCACCACCTTTCCCGTTCACAATTGCATAGTTACCTCTTCTACAGTTCATGGTTGCTTAATATTCCTATGATAAATGCAGCAGATACTTACAAGGAAAACTGACATTGGAGAAGAACTTAATGTATTTTTAGCTTTCTGATGCAATTTGGCAGTTTGGAATTTGGAGAACCAGCACCTTGTGACCAGCCAGCTCTCTGCAGCCCACCTGCAGTGTTATGCAGACCAGAGTTTGGGAAATGCCAGCCTAAAAGATGATCTCTGAGATCCACAACCTTATTACCAAGTAAAGGGAGAAAAATAAAAGCCTTATACTCTGTGTATGTTGAGTTCTTTTCAGTTGTGTGTACCAAATAGCACTGGACACAAGAGGAGTTACAATACAGGCAGTGTATATGGGAAATTACATACACTTGCTCACGCTCTGGGCATGAGCCACTTCAAACACTTTGTTTCCAGGCCCATTCTCCAGTAGAAGAGTTGTCGTTTTTTCAAGTTTTGAACAGGCTGAACAGAAGCATACTCCCAGTAGGATCGGAAACCCCTATCTTACAGGGAGAAGCTGGACTGAATTGGAGTAGATTATGCAGTTGCATGCCATGCATTACAAGTTTACTGTTTTTTCTCACCTGTTTATTGATAATTTTGAACTTAACATACTTTTCTTACTCTGCTTTTTTTGTTTCAGAAAACAGATAAGCAAGAGAATTCAGGAAGCTTAGAAGCTATCAGTGATTCCATTCCACAGCCTATGCCATTCCCACCTGCTGCTGTGAGGTCAGGCTCTCCAAAACTCGACCCTTCAGAAGTCTATCTGAAGTCTAAGACAGTATTTGAAGACAAGCGTAAGTACACAGACCTCTTATGCTGGGAATATGCTGTAGCACAGCAGGATGTGTTCTGCATTTCCTTCATGTGTGTCCACTTGTAAACACAAGTCTTTAAACTTGGTGCTCCTCAGGGCATATTTAGAAAGACTATGAGGAAGTAAAATGACCATAGTAGTTCGTGTGATTATATCCTAGCTAATGATTCCATTGGAAATCACAGCTCAGCAGTCTGTCTGTTTTGTGTGTATAACACAGTCTGTTTACTAGCAAAGATTTACAAATGGTGTATGAGAACAGGTGCAGATACAGAACTGTTGCCTAGCTACGATTTTAAATGTAATAGTATACAATGGATAAACCAAAGCCATTTGGCATGCCAAACATGCCATATAAAATACACTCCTGGGTGAGCTGGTAGGGATTAAAGTACCCCCATAAATGACCAATCAAGAATATGTTTTATAGTAAATAAGGGGGATACGGTGTCAGCAGATGGGCTGCAACATGAAAATAAACTGTTACATAACTACAAATGAAGCATAGCAGTGTCACCAAGGTCACAAACGGCTTGTTGCCTGTGAATTTCCCACTGTAAACAAACTTTCTCCCCAGTGCAGTGTTTCAACCATACATTTCATTATATAGCACTTAACTGAAATGCTATAAATATGCTCTTAATTAGATTTGTGTTGTTTGTCTAAAAGGTTAGTTCTGGATAAAGCGGTAACTTTGGAGGCCCAGGAAAAACAAACACAAGTTCATTTTCCTAAGCCAGGGCATGGAGTATGGCACATCTGTACTTTATGTTAATCTGGTACCGCAATAAGCTGCTGCTTCTTTTCAGTACATCTGACTTCAGAGAAAATTAACCTTAACATTTTCCCTCAGTAACACTTATTACCCAGCAATAAGTTTCATACATGAAATAGGAAATCAGCAGTCAGGTTCTCTGATGTTGACCTAATTAATATTAGATAACTGTCTTCAACATTTAATTTCCATTTTCCCTATCAGCACTTTTTTCTAATTTTGCAAACATGAGCTTTGAGAATTGGATAGTACCAGCCCTGCAAAGATACCTTGTAAGACATTTCTTAAGAAATGCTTCATTGAAATTTGAATTTACTTCGGCTACAGACGGGCTCATATGCAGCTGCGACACAATGAAACGACATTTTCTAGTTACTCAGAAAAAGTGTCCTGTTTAACAATTGAACCACAGACAGCAGCAGCCATAGAGAAGAGCAAAAACAAGAGTTAAACTAAACAAAGTGGAGGCAAATGCACAATTTAACATATTGAGGGTTAGTTAGTAAGACTTGATTGGAAAGTAGGATAGGAAATTTGTATATCAAGTCATATATGAAGTTATATCTTGGTGAATTTGAAATGATGAGAGGTGGAACTCACAGTATATTGCTGCACCATATCTTGTAATGTTTTTGAGGAGTTCTTGCCAAATTCGAAGATGTTCTAATTCTAAGCAGCTGAAGTAAACTAGATAGTTCAGTTGTTTGTCAAATATGGTCCTGTCTGAGATGAACTCTAGATGGATTGATAGATTCCAAAGCCAGAAGGGATGATTGTGACCCTAGTCTGACCTCCTCTATAACACTGGTCATAGAACTTTTCTAAAATAATTCCTAGAGCAGATCTTGTAGAAAAATATCCAATCATGATTTAACAATTTTCAGTTACGAAGAATCCACCCCGACCCTTGGTAAGTTGTTCCAATCACTAATTACTCTCGCCATTAAAAGTTTTACACCTTATTTCTAGTCTGAATTTGTCTCGCATCAACTTCTAGCCATTGGATCATGTTATGCCTTTCTGTACTAGACTGAAGAGCTCATTATTAAATATCTAAAAAAGAAAAGGAGGACTTGTGGCACCTTAGAGACTAACAAATTTATTTGAGCATAAGCTTTCGTGAGCTACAGCTTACTTCATCGGATGCATGCAGTGGAAAATACAGTGGGGAGATTTATATACATAGAGAACATGAAACAATGGGTGTTACCATACACACTGTAAGGAGGGCGATCACTTAAGGTGAGCTATTACCAGCAGGAGGGCGGGGGGAACCTTTTGTAGTGATAATCAAGGTGGGCCATTTCCAGCAGTTGACAAGAATGTCTGAGGAACAGTGGGGGGGGGGGGGCGGGACTACAAGCCGTCAGGAACAGTATCCCCAATAATGTCACGGCAAACCTGGTGGCTGAACTTTGTGACTTTGTCCTCACCCATAACTATTTCACATTTGGGGACAATGTATACCTTCAAATCAGAGGCACTGCTATGGGTACCAGCGTGGCCCCCCAGTATGCCAACATTTTTATGGCTGACTTAGAACAACACTTCCTCAGCTCTCGTCCCCTAACGCCCCTACTCTACTTGCGCTATATTGATGACAGCTTCATCATCTGGACCCATGGAAAAGAAGCCCTTGAGGAATTCCACCATGATTTCAATAATTTCCATCCCACCATCAATCTCAGCCTGGACCAATCCACACAAGAGATCCACTTCCTGGATACTATGGTGCTAATAAGCGATGGTCACATAAACACCACCCTATACCGGAAACCTACTGACCGCTATTCCTACCTACATGCCTCCAGCTTTCATCCAGACCACACCACATGATCCATTGTCTACAGCCAAGCTCTACGATACAACCGCACTTCCTCCAACCCCTCAGACAGAGACAAACACCTACAAGATCTCTATCAAGCATTCTTACAACTACAGTACCCACCTGCTGAAGTGAAGAAACAGATTGACAGAGCCAGAAGAGTTCCCAGAAGTCTCCTACTACAGGACAGGCCTCAACAAAGAAAATAACAGAACGCCACTAGCCGTCACCTTCAGCCCCCAACTAAAACCTCTCCAACGCATCATTAAGGATCTACAACCTATCCTGAAGGATGACCCATCACTCTCACAGATCTTGGGAGACAGGCCAGTCCTTGCTTACAGACAGCCCCGCAACCTGAAGCAAATACTCACCAGCAACCACACACCACACAACAGAACCACTAATCCAGGAACCTATCCTTGCAACAAAGCCCGTTGCCAACTGTGTCCACATATCTATTCAGGGGACACCATCACAGGGCCTAATCACATCAGGCACACTATCAGAAGCTCATTCACCTGCACATCTACCAATGTGATACATGCCATCATGTGCCAGCAATGCCCCTCTGCCATGTATATTGGCCAGACTGGACCGTGTCTAAGTAAAAGAATAAATGGACACAAATCAGACGTCAAGAATTATAACATTCAAAAACCAGTTGGAGAACACTTCAGTCTCTTTGGTCACTTCATTACAGACCTAAAAGTTGCTATTCTTCAAGAAAAAAACTTCAAGAACAGACTCCAACGAGAGACTGCTGAATTGGAATTAATTTGCAAACTGGATACAATTAACTTAGGCTTGAATAGAGACTGGGAGTGGATGGGTCATTACACAAAGTAAAACTATTTCCCCATGTTTATTCCCCCAACCCACCCCTCACTGTTCCTTAGACGTTCTTGTCAACTGCTGGAAATGGTCCACCTTGATTATCACTACAAAAGGTTCCCCTCGCCCCTCCCCACCCCTCTCCTGCTGGTAATAGCTCACCTTAAGTGATCACTCTGGTTACAGTGTTTATGGTAACACCCATTGTTTCATGTTCTCTATGTATATAAATCTCCCCACTGTATTTTCCACTGAATGCATCCGATGAAGTGAGCTGTAGCTCACGAAAGCTTATGCTCAAATAAATTTGTTAGTCTCTAAGATGCCACAAGTACTCCTTTTCTTTTTCTGAATACAGACTAACCTGGCTGCTACTCTGAAACCTATTAAATATCTGTTTCCCATGTAGACACTTACCAACTATACTTAAGTCACCCCTTAACGTTCTCTTTTGGTAAACTAAATAGATTGAGCTCTTTGAGTCTATCACTGTAAGGCAGTTTTTCTAATCCTTCAACCATTCTCATGGCTCTTCTCTGACCCCTCTCCAATTTATCAACATTGTTCCTGAATTGTGGGCACCAGAGTTTGACACAGCGTACCAGCAGTGGTTGCATGAATGCCAGATATGAAGGTAGGCTGTCTCCCCTACTCAAGATTCTCCTGTTTATGTATCCCAGAATCGCATTAGCCCTTTTGACTACAGCGTCACACTGGGAGCTCATGTTCAGCTGATTATCTGCCACAACCCCCAAATATTTTTTTAGAGTCACTGCTTCCCGGGTTAAAGTCCCCCATCCTGGAAGTATGGCCTACATTCTTTGTTCCGACATGTGTACGTTTACATTTAGCTCTACTAATACATATATTGTTTGCACCCAATTCACCAAGCAATCCAGATTGATGTAAATCAGTGACCTGTCCTCTTCATTATTTACCATTCTCCCAACATTTACGTCATCTGCAAACTTTATCGGTGATGATTTTATATTTTCTTTGAAGTCATTGATAAAAATGTGAAATAGCATAGACCCAAGAACCAATACCTACGGAATCTCACTGGAAGCACACCCACTCAATAATGATTCCCCGTTTACAGTTACATTTTGAGACCTGTCAGCCAGTTTTTAATCCATTTAAAGTGTGCCATGTTAATTTCATTAATCATATTACCCTCGTTTAATTCTTCATTAATCAAATCCAGGATCAGCCACTCTATTGTCTTGCCAGGGATCAATGCCCGGCGCACCAGTCCATAACTATCAGAGTCATCCCCTTTTAAAAATTGGCACAATATTAGCTTATTTGTAGTCCTCAGAAACTTCCCCAGTGCTCCAAGCCTTATTGAAAATCAGCATTAACGGTTCAGCAGGCTCATAGCAAGCTCTTTTAAAACTCTCGGTTTCAAGTAATCTAGACCTGCTGATTTAAAAATGTCTTACTTCTGCAGCTTCTGTTTGACATCCTCCAGAGATACTTGTGGAATGGAAAGTGTTATCACCATAAGATGAGTCTGTATAATCTGTTTTTTCCCCAGATACAGAACAGAACTATGTACTGAACACTTCTGCCTTTTCTGCATTATTTTTGATAATTCTGCAATTTGCATCTAGTACTGGACCAATACCATTGTCAGGATTATTTTTGTTCCTAATGCATTTTAAAAACTCCTTCTTCTTATCTTTTACTCTTATTCTGCTGGCCATAGATCCTTGTGTCCTTTTGCCTCACTTGTCAGTTTTCTACAGTTCCTAACTTCTGATTTATATTCATTATTATCAACTTCCCCTTTCTTCCATTTTTTATATATTTTATTTTTTATAACTGCCTTCATTTCCCCTCTAAACAAGGTTAGCTTTTTAACCAGCATGGCCTTCTTCCGCAGTAAGGTGTTCTTAAATGATTCCCAATTACCATTCACTTTTCTGGTTAAATTCTTCCTCCCTGCTGATTTGGCTCATGATTGTTTTCAGTGTTGTGAAATTGGCCCTATTTGTAGCAATTATAGACTGCATCTTAATCTCAACCTATACAAACATAATGGTAGGAGGTGTTTTGGTCCCTGTGAAATGGTGTTAGAGTGACAGACATCTGCAGCTGTTTCTGGGCATACTCATCACTCCACATGCTAGGAGGATAACATCACTGAGGAATTGGTGACATTTTTTACTAAAACAATCTGACCACTCTGTTTTGTCAATGGAAAACTACAAGCTTAGAACTGGTTGCACAACTGTGTTGATTAAAGAAAGATGTAAACACATTTTAATCTTCTTTCCAATAATCAAATGTAACTTATCATGCACGTTTCATATTTGTCTTAACTAGCTCCAAACACAAAAGATTTGGATGTTTTCCTGCGAAAACAGGAGTCGGGGTTTGGCTTCCGTGTGCTCGGAGGGGATGGACCGGACCAGTCAGTAAGTGAATTAAGTTATCTGTTACCTGGACTTTGGGAGCTTCTGCTGTAGCTCCTTGCAATGTCTCCTTCACATGATCATTTTAATTTTTTCCCCATGTTGAGTTAAGTGGATAAGCTTTATTTCCATCTTCAAATAAACAGCTATACTGTATGTTGATATCATATTCACCTTAAACAGATGCAGTATGTTTTTATACTGCTTCATTCCTGGTTCAGGTTGGCTTTCTCAAAATGCTATCAGAGCTAAGTTGCTGCAAATTTGGTTGCAAGTGGGTGGTAGATAATCAAGAATGGAAGGCGCAAAGACATTTGGCGGTGTCTTTAAGCTTTAGAGAAATAGTGTTCATAGTACAAGTTCACACCAACCGACAAACTGGGAAAATGGGGCATGGTGTTATGGGAGGAGCTACAAATGTGACTTATTCAGTTGAGCCCAAGGGACCTTTACTTGGCAGGGGAAACTTGGGGCAAAATTCCATTTGGTCCCTTGCCATGAAAGCTGTGAAGTCCCTACTGTCGCTCAGTATTCAAACACGACATGGACAAATTTACAGAGTTTGGGGTGAGTGGGGAGCTCATCACCTTGGGAGTGGTCTTCCACAAATTGAGGTGGCAGCTCAGGTCAATTTGTCACATGGAAGGAGAGAAATACAGTACCCCAAATTCCTACAGAGGGAGATAGCCCCATGTTCTAGCAGTGAAGGAACTTGAACAGAAATATTTCAGCAGTCAGATGTTGAGCTAGAGCTTCAACAGGGTAAAAAGAGTAAAGAAACTGGGCAGGCTGGTTTAGCTATCTTTTATTAAGTGATCAGCTGAGTCCTTTGCCAAAGTCAGCAATTGTTGGATTTCTGCAAGCATCACTGGGATACTCCTCCATAGCAACACTTGTGACTTGATGGCGAGAGAAGGGCCTCAGTGACAGGCACATTAAAAAGTTATGGTTTAGATTAGATCTGGGGGAAAAACCCTTATCTGCATGTTTGGCACTTAACTTGCCCATGTTCATCCTGGTAGAGCAAACATGCACTGCGTCTGTCCAGTGACATCTGAATGTGGCCTGGTTCTCAACAGAATGCCCATGAGTGACTGCAGTGAGGACCTACAGCAGTAGTTAATGAAACAAGTTGAGTGTGAAGCTTTTTGATGTGTTGTGTTAGACCAGATTTAAAAAAAAAGAAACTGTTCCGGCTAAATAGTGATTTAACTCCAGTCCCATTAAAATCCAATGGAAGAAGATAAAATGGTTTGTTACCTTTCTTCCCTTTCCTCTTCATGGTTGATTTCAGTCCCCCCCAGGCTCTCAGTCACTTTCTGTTTGTCTAGAATCTTTCTTGGCAGCAGCAGTTCTCCATCGAGCCTTTACACCATAATTGTTCTATCCTGAGAATGCTCTCAAAGATGGGGTTGGCACCAAACCTTTGCACATTATAGCACCTAATCTTATTAATGGACTTGGCACCAATGCACACTGGTAATGCTCAGTACAACATGCATGTCAGTTTAACTGGGAAATAAGCAAGTGGAGAAGGCTTTCTGGCTACCCCAAAAAAATCACCCCCAGATTTGTTACTGTCTTGTTGCATTATTATGCTGCAGAAGGGAACAAAGCAAGGAGAAAATTATAATCTTTTTTAAAATAGTTTTTGTAAGTCTTTCTCTTCTTTTGGAGATTGGACATCAGATATGGTTTTAGGTCACCAGTTAGTGAAGTTTTTTGGCTTTGCTGTAGAGAGCTGTCATACAATTTGACTCAGGTGGCAGTGTCTGCTTCAGAGAGGAGGATGGAGGCAGATTGGCAAAGACATGGACGGAAATTCCTGGAGTTCCTATTCATGCTATTCCTGGCTTTAGGAAATCCTGCCCTGTTTCTCACTTGCCAAAGCACATCTTCACCAAGAAAAGTAGAACTCTGTCCCTGACCATATGGCAGTGACTGCTCCTGTCCTGCCAACCTTCAAAGGTGCTAAAGCTTTTGGGATACAGACACTGATCGGTAGCATGTCCTTTCATATGTAATTAAAATGCATTCTCCATTCACATCTGAGATCCAATGCCAGTTTGTTTTCTGACGTGCATTTAAAGGAAAGGAAGAACAGAGTGCTTTTTCTAGAGGAAATAATACGCAATTTTAGGGTTTTTTTATTGTATTCTACTGTTTTCTTGCTATAGTGACTAGCTGTGTTGGTAAGAGTCATAGCAATGCCCTGAGTGCAATGTGAAGATGGGTTTTGGAATGAACCTGCTCTCTGCTGCTTAACGCTGGACACCTGCTGGACATAATTGTTTTTAATCTTTCACTTTAAACTGAACTTTTTTCTAGCATCTAAAACTACTACGTGTTTCGTGCTCCTGTCTCTATCATTTAGCTGGTGTTTGCTTGGGATGAAGGTGCAGGCCAAAGGGGTGTGAGGGCTGCAGCTGTTTAAATTCATCCTGTGATCACCAATACTTGCACATTGCAGATTTTGAGTGTTGCAATTTCTGAGGAGCTGTGTTCTTAGGCTCTTTGCTGAACTTTAAATTCTACACTGGAGTCACCTAGCAGGTCTCAGTAATGATAGTGTGTCTTTGTTGTGTTGATTGAATGACACAGGCATTTCTTTTCAATAATTTTTGATGCACAGAACAAATACATAAATAACACACACATACACTAAAACAGCAAGACAAACAGGTAAGTGTACAAATACAGAGCTTAACCTACTCATGAGGTGGTGACCGTTCAGCTGATAGGCATTCATGAATAATGCAAGGCAGTAATAAAAATAAACCTTAAAATAAGATGAGCATTAAGTTTGAATGTCAGGAAGCTGGGACTGTCACAGTGTGCTCATTTCTACACCTGCAAATGAGGTCGGTCTAGTATTGCTTCTGTAGCGTGAGTTTCTGCTAGATTTAGGAGGGGGAAATACATTTTTTAAAGGAAAGCCTGCAAAAAGTCCCTCTTTATCTGGGGATTCAAGCATGACACATTCTGTGTGTTCTACACCCCAAGACCAATGATGACACTTTGTTGACAGATATATATTGGGGCCATCATCCCACTGGGAGCAGCAGAGAAAGACGGCCGACTCCGAGCTGCCGATGAGCTAATGTGCATTGACGGCATCTCTGTCAAAGGGAAATCACACAAACAGGTCCTGGACTTAATGACCAGTGCTGCGCGGAATGGCCAGGTGCTGCTCACTGTCCGGAGGAAGATCATCTTTGGCGGTATGTGCCAGGTGTCCAGACTAAACCCAGTCCCGCTAGGTTTGCCGGAGTCTGGTAGCATGGCCATTGGCACTCTTGTTCCTGGACTTAGTGTAAAAGCATGTTTCCACGGCCATAATCAGGTGATATAAAGCTGTACCATGAGAGAACTACTAGTACATCAGGAATGATCGAAACTCAGGGTGTCACCTCCACTTCTGGATGAATGGGGTAAAACAAATTTGTATCAAGCAGATGTTCTTGGAGGGAAGAGAATGGGATAAAAGGGAGCATCCGTTTGCGCTGAGGCACTGGAAAGCACTGTAATAGTGATGCTCTCTTGTTCTATAGTGCTTTTCATTGGAGGATCTGAAAGTACTTTACAAGCATTCATTATTAAAGCCACTCATGGCTCTATGTACTCTGGGCAGTGATACAAACTTTCTTTCTGCATTACAACACACTACATTCTGAGTTTTGTTAGAATTTGTGCAGCAGGCTTAAGTGTATTATTTAATTCAATGCAGAAATTAATTTTATAGTCAGAGAAGTGTTCTGTAGACAGTTCAGTGGCAATGGAATGTACAGATATGGAAACTGAGGTACAGAAGGGTTGTCGTTGCTGAGATGTCACTGACCACATCAGTGATAAAACTGAGAACAGAACCCAGGAGTCCTGGCTTGCAGTCCCCTGTTCTCATTAGTAAACCCCACTGCCTTTCATGGCTCTTTCAGTCAAGATAACTAGAAACATTCCTTATAAACTGTGAAAAAATAGGAAGTGTATGATTTTCATAACATCTTCCCTTTCACTGTCATCCAAATGGGGGCAGCATGGACTAATGGGCTAAGTATGAGTTTGTGAGCCTAGAAAGTCCTAAATTCTAATTCCAGGCCTGTCACTGACACACTGTGCATTCTTTGACAAATCAAGTGACGTCTGTGTCACTGTCTGTAAAATGGGTGTGATATCTACCTACCGCACAGGGGTGTTAGTGAGTTAATATTGTCATGGTGTTTCTCCCAGGTGCCACACAGAAACCAGACAAACCAGGAGGGGGCAGGGTCTCCAGTCACACTGTATTTGCATGTAGATTGCAGCCCTTCATGAGTCTGTCTTGCTCAGTTTTTGTTCAAAGTGAAAATACATACTGTATTAAATTAGGTATTATCCGCCTAGTAACTACAGGTGTATTATATTGGTGCTGTACCTGGTGGCTGCTGCCAGCCTGTCGTAGCACGGTGCAAGGAGAGCAGATTGAGCCGAGCACAAAAAGAGGCCATCTAAAGGCTCAGAAAAGATTAATCGGAGGAAAAGCAATTTTCTGCCTTTGCATCTCAAGTTGCATTGCCTCCCTGGTGAATTCTGACAGTGTAACGTGTTCCTGAAAGAGAGGGTCTGATTCAGAGATCTTGAAAAGCTTACGTGGCTTCGTCTGCATCAGGGCCGCCTCTGCCTCTGGTCTCTGTTTATTTCTCCTTTATTTAATTTAAAAAGAAAGAAAAAGAAAAATCCCTTCATTTTACAGCTTTATTTTCCTCTGAATTTCCTGATGTGGCATGGTCCTCACAGGCAATGCTTCAAGACTGGGATTTTGTTAGTTTTCCATTGAAGAGGCTGGGCTTCAACATTTGAATTACCCTTTAAAATATTGGTACACGTTTTGAAATAGGCCGTTGGTTCTCTGCAGTGAAAATGGCAATAGTCCCAGTTTTAAAGTGGGTTTCTGCTCTTGGTCTTGTGCTTAAACTATACAGGAAAATAGTGCTGCCAAAAAGAGTCACTAAAGGGACAACCAAGGTTAGGCTAGCGTTATTAAGGGCATCAGCAACTGAGCACGACCTCTGAGCTGCTGTACACCCAGACTGTTCCCTTCTGAGTTATAAGTGTGTATTGCAAACATTAAACTCTCCTATTACACATTCTTAAACCTCTGTAGCAACTTCAGCCCGAAGTGTAAATGGTTCTACCCCGTATTCTGATTCCATCTGGTTTCAGTTGCCTTCTTAATAAACCCCCGTGGGGAGGGGAAGTGCTTCTCCATTCTGTTAGTGATCTGATCATGTTTATCCTTGTAGTTATCCAGCTCCACAGCACTCTTACTGATTCGACCTTATACTTTATTTTTGTGGTGTTTGTAGTCGAGAAACAGCCAGAAGAGGAGGAGTCGCAGCTGCCCATTTCCACTCAAAATGGATCTCCCCGGCTGAACCGGGTAGAGGTCACAAGCAGACAGTCCCCAGAGGCCTATGATGTCCTGCTACAGCGGAAAGAGAATGAAGGATTTGGGTTTGTCATCCTCACCACAAAAAGCAAACCTCCTCCTGGCGGTAAGGGCTGACTCCTGTGTATTGTGCCACCTGCTCCACTGATGCCTGACTGGAGGAGATTAATTGGTTTAACTCATAGTTAAGCAGTTATTGCCAACGGCATTCAGGGCTGGGGACTCCTAGGAGATCCTTCTTTCATAGGATGGTGTTTGTTTTCCATGTCCAACCACCTTCTGTGCTGTGATCTGTTTCACTCGTCGTGCTGTTCACAACTTTCAGTGGCTAAAGGCTAAGTCTGTCTCGCTCACAAAAGGGAATATGGTTTCTCTCCTTTGTACATTTTGTAGAAACTTTTGCATGTGCAACAACTGAAGTGGGGGTGGGAAATCACTCCTTACCAGTACAGGGGAAAAGAGAGAGAAACATATCCTTGTGATTTGATGACTTTCAGAATGTGTAAGGTGCCCAGACTGTGATAAGTGTGGGAATGGATGCACCGGTGTAGTCAAGGGTAAATGCAGGTAAACAGAGTTTACCCACTTCTCATTTGGGGAATATGGAGCTTAGTTTAGATTAGTTTACCCACTTTTTTTTACCACCACATCACTGGATGCAGAGAACAAATATGCACACACGTACTCTTTACACTCTCGGTACAGCAGTGCCCAGTAGATAAAATCAGCTATTGGGTAGTTAGTGCCTGGATAAATCTCTTGCTAATAGAAGTATACTTACAAACTTAGACCTGTGAGATCCATTCAGGGGGTGTAGGTTATTACTCAGGTCTCTGGCTTTCTCAGATCTCAGTATTTCGAAGAAAGCAATGGAGGAATTAGTCAGGAGAACATTCTGTATCTGCCTTGTGACATGTTACAAACCAGAGATATTATCCTAAGCAATGTAGCGTATCTTAGGGTTCTAACTTGTGGATTTGGCTGATGGATCAGTTTGTAAGATAAAGAGCAGAGTGGACCAAGTGAAAATAAGAAGGTATCTTGTAAGTAGCGATAAGAGACAAGCTGCTTGAGGGAGGCATCTGAAATTCTCCCTAATTAACAGAAAGATTTCTGACCCCTAGCACTAGAGTAATTTAAAAGAAGTGCCCATTCTTTATAATCAAATACATTTTGTATTGAATGTGATCCTGGGTGCCAGACTCCCAGAGCTTGCCAGGTAGCAGTTATTAACACCACCTCTGCATAGACAGATGTGCCTACCTTTCATAAATTGTTGACTTTTATGAGATGGCTTCCACACTCTTCTCAGATACTTTTGGCCAAGATTTGAGTAGTTCAGTTTTAAAATGAAAAGGTATGGTCAATCTATAACTAGGCCTGTTGGCTGGCATTGTTCCCCTTTGTGAGAATTGGAGGGATGGGTATGGTTCTCTCAGTTCATAGGGAATGAAGAGCTTACAGCCAGGCTGAGCCTTGTAACACAAAAGGGATGCCAGACAGCTCAGTGGATTTACCCAGGGCACAGCAAGTTACTTTCTTGTTTTTTCTCCCTGAGATGTGGACGCTCGGGTATCTGTACCCCAGTGATCTGAAATCTTTTGTCCCCTGCTGTGAATCAGTTTCCCAGTAACTGCCCTCATGATCCCAGAGCACTTACTGTAATAATGACTTGAATGTTTGCGTGTGAGTAAAGGGATGTTCTTCCAGCCCAGACTATTTACATTGGCATGTTGCTCTGCCTTATTTCTCTGTTTATTATACTATGAAAAAGCAGAAATACAGACAAAAGCAGTGACTCTGAAAGAAAATCATTGTCTTATTATTTTGTTGAGTTTACATGATACATATTTTGACTGAGTGATTTGAAGTCTTGGCTAAAACAATATATTTTTAATGAAATTTAGAACAAAAAAGTGCAAAGTATCAGTGAAGGTTGTGAAAGAGTGAGCAACTGTGGCATTGAGTACTAGCTAGAACAGAAATGCTGACTTCTGTTCTATAAAATCAGTTGCTATAGTAACACTTGGGACAGGAGCTGTCACCCTCTGATGCTGTGCTGTGATTATGTGACCTGTGTTAGCGATATGAAAAACTAACTCTTTGGACTGGTTTTCTGTTGCCTTGTCAGAGTTGGGTGATATTAGAAAAATGATTATTAACAAATAAGCAGAATTGTACTGTGTAATCCTGGTACTGCATCATTAGAACATTCTTGTCAGCATACCATCCAGAAATTCTTTCATCAAGTTGAAACTGCAATGAAAGTAGTTGGGTGGTTTTGTTTTTATGGGAAATAACAGAAGATAACTGGATCCCTATTTCAGCATTGGAAGTGCTAAGGTAGCAGTCCCAGCCTGTTTTTAATGCTTGTAAATAAGAAACATTGGTATATCAGTGTATTGCATTATGCTGGAACATCTTTGCAACATCTCACGTAAGAATGGCCATACTGGGTCAGACCAGTGGTCCATCTAGCCCAGTATCCTGTCTTCCTGCCAGGCCAGATGCTTCAGAGGGAATGAACAGAACAGGGAATCATCAAGTGATCCCGGCCCTGTCATTGAGTCCCAGCTTCTGGCAATCAGAGGTTTGGAGCATGGGGTTGAGTCCCTGCCCATCCTGGCTAATAGCCATTGATGGACCCATCCTCCATGAACTTATCTAGCTCTTTTCTGAACCCTGTTATAGTCTTGGCCTTCACAACACCCTCTGGCAAGGAATTCCACAGGTTGACTGTCCGTTGTGTGAAGAAAGACTTCCTTTTGTTCATTTTAAACCTGCTACCTATTAATTTCATTTGGTGACCCCTAGTTCTTGTCTTATGAGAAGGTGTAAATAACACTTCCTTATTTACTGTCTCCATGCCAGTCATGTTTCTGTGGACCTATATCATTTCCCGCCTTAGTCGTCTTTTTTCTAAACGGAACAGTCCCAGTTTTTTTAATCTCTGCTGTGTTGGAAGCTGTTCCATGCCTCTCATCATTTTTGTTGCCCTTCTCTGTACTTTTTCCAATTCTAATTGTCTCTCTTTGAGATGAAGTGACCAGAGCTGAATGCAGTATTCAAGGTCTGGGTGAATAGGGATTTACATAGTGACATTGTGATATTTTCAGTCATATTTTCTATTCCTTTTCCAACGGTTCCTCACATTCATTTAGCTTTTTTGACTGCCGCTGCCCACTGGGCAGCCATTTGCAGAAAACTATCCACGATTCCCATCGTTTTGTATATATAGTTGAGATTATGTTTTCCAATGTACATTACTTTGCACTAGGGTTGTCAAGCGATTAAAAAAATTAATCCCGATTAATCACGCTCTTAATAATAGAATACCATTTATTTAAATATTTTTGGATGTTTTCTACATGCTCGAATATATGTATTCTGTGTTGTCATTGAAATCAGAAATGTACAATACTCACTTCTTATTTATTTTTATTACAAATCTTTGCACTGTAAAAACAAAAGACCATATTTTTCAATTCACCTAATACAAATACTGTAGTGCAATCTCTTTATTATGAAAGTAAACTTACAAATGTAGAATTATGTAAAAAAACCTGCATTCAAAAATAAAACAGTGTAAAACTCTAGAGCCTACAAGTCCACTTAACCCTACTTCTTGTTCAGCCAATCACTCGGACAAACAAGTTTTTTCACATTTGCAGGAGATAATGCTGCCCTCTTCTTGTTTACAAAGTCACCTGAAAGTGAGAACAGGCGTTTGCATGGCATTGTTGTAGCTGGATGCGCTAAAGATTCATATGTCCCTTCATGCTTCAACCACCATTCCAGAGGACATGCGTCCATGCTGACGGATTCTGCTCGATAACAATCCAAAGCAGTACGGAACAACGCATGTTCATTTTCATCATCTCAGTCAGATGCCACCAACAGAAGATTGGTTTTCTTTTTTGGTGGTTCAGGTTCTGGAGTTTCTGCGTCAGAGTGTTGCTCTTTTAAGACTTCTGAAAGCATGCTCCACACCTCATCCCTCTCAGATTTTGGAAGGCACTTCAGATTCTTAAAACCTTGAGTGCTGTAGCTGTCTGTAGAAATCTGATATTGGAACCTTCTTTGTGTTTTGTCAAATCTGCAGTGAAAGTGTTCTTAAATCAAACAACATATGCTGGGTCATCATCCGAGACTACCATAGCACAAAATATATGGCAGAATGCAGGTAAAACCATGGAGCAGGAGGCATACAATTCTCCTCCAAGGAGTTCAGTCACAAATTTAATTATGCTATTTTTTTTTTTTTTTTAAACAAGCATCATCAGTATGGACACGTCCTCTGGAATGGTGGTCAAAGCATGAAGAGACACATCAATGTTTAGCATCTCTGGCACGTAAATACCTTGCAGTGCTGGCTACAAAAGTGCCCTGCGAACAACTGTTCTCACTTTCAGGTGACATTGTAAATAAGGAGTGGCATTATCTCCCATAAATGTAAACAGGCTTGTTTCTCTTAGTGATTGGCTGAACGAGAAGTAGGACTGAGTGGACGTGTAGGCTCTAAAGTTGTACATTGTTGTTTTTGAGTGCAGTTACATAACCAAAAAAAATCTACTTTTGTAAGTTGCATTTTCACGATAAGGAGATTGCACTACAGTACTTGTATGAGGTGAATTGAAAGATACTATTTCTTTGTCATTTTTACAGTGCAAATATTTGTAATCAAAAGTAATATAAAGTGAACACTGTACACTTTGTATTCTGTGTTGTAATTAAAATCAATATATTTTAAAATGTAGAAAAACATCTAAAATATTTAGTAAATTTCAATTGGTATTTTGTTTAACAGTGTGATTAAAACTGTGATTAATCAAGATTAAATTTTTAATTGCAATTAATTGTTTTTAGTTAATCGCATGAGCTAACTGCGATTAATCGACAACCTTACTTCGCACTTATCAAAACTGAATTTCATCTGCCATTTTGTTGCCCAGTCACTCAGTTTAATGATATCCCTTTGTAACTCTTCACAGTCTGCTTTGGACTTAACTATCTTGAATAATTTTATATCATCTGCAAATTTGACCACCTTCCTGCTTACCCCCTTTTCCAGATCATTTATTAATGACTTAAAATGAACCCACTGGGATATTTTACACAAGATAATTCATCAGTTAGTTGTAACTCTACAATCCTGTGATGCTTTCCTCTTCTCAGATAACTCTTACATAAATTATATTAAAAATGTAGGCCTTAAAAGTGGGAGAAGAAATTAAAGACAATACAATTAAATCTTTAAATGGAGGTAAAAATTGAGAGGCATCAATGTCTGCTCCTTTATAGCAAGTAACAAGTGTTTGCTAGCTCATTAATTACAAGCCTGAATGGTAAATTAAGGTCAGATTTCTGATGACTTTCAGAAAGTGTTTTGAGATTTGCTGTCATAGTTTGAAATGCCAAATGATAATGTTAAGTACATAATTCTGCACCCCTCTCTCTCCATTCACCATCCGTTCCCTTTCAATGAAGCATGCTTGGGAGAAATAATAAAGACGTTAGGAAGAGGACAGAGATCTTCTCCCTCCACTGGGCTTTGGGTGCACATAAGGGATTTCAGGTGAAATTTCAGTTATGACGGGGAGAGCATCAGTGAAAGGGATGGCTGGAACCAGTGAAGATCTTTGGTGACAGTCTAAGGTAGAAATGTGAGCACTGGTCCAAGAGCCATCGTGAGAGACTTTAAGGATCCATACAGAGGGGAGCCATCTTTGCTACACCTTCAGGGATCCAGGGAAATTAAAAAAAGAAAAGGAGTACTTGTGGCACCTTAGAGACTAACCAATTTATTTGAGCATGAGCTTTCGTGAGCTACAGGCTGTAGCTCACGAAAGCTCATGCTCAAATAAATTGGTTAGTCTCTAAGGTGCCACAAGTACTCCTTTTCTTTTTGCGAATACAGACTAACACGGCTGTTCCTCTGAAACCAGGTAAATTAAAGGCAGCTCTGGTTGCGTGGGAAGGCAGCACGCTGACAGATGGGCTTTGATTTAACGTGAAGTTCCTCTGGCACCAATGTATCGGAGCTAAGGCAGCACAATGAGCTGAGGTTTCTGTTTGCTCCCTACTGGTGCATTGGCCTCACGTGAGCTGTTGAGTGCAATTTGCTGTATTGACTTACAGATCAACCACCACCAACCTACAATTTTCCATTAGCATCACTCCAGATCTTGCTAGTTGTCAGAGCCTGTGGGCGCTGCTGGGAAGTAGAGATACTGGCTGATCTCTGCCAAAAAGAAGCCTGAAGAAAAGTATTGTATTTCTGAGAAAAGGATGCTCATATTTTGCTACCAGTGGAACTTTCCTCTGCCCGTTGGAGGCTTTTTAGTTCTGCCCTCTCCTATACCCAGCCCATTGCTTGGTCCGGCCTGGGGAAAGTGACTAATATGAATGAGCCCCTTAAAAATACTCTCCCTCTCCCTTACTTTTTGCTTCCCCTTCTCTTTCCCAGTCCCATTGCTCTGGCCCCTAAAGGAATGTATTCAGAAGAGTGGAGTGAGGTGAGCAGCCTGGATAAGCTAATCTGGAGAGCTGGTTAAAACTTACTATATGGAAAACACCGGGGGTTATGGATGCAGATCCATCTTGATGTGGAAAAATTGGAAAGAGTCCAGTGGAGGGCAACAAAAATGATTAGGGGACTGGAACACATGACTTATGAGGAGAGGCTGAGGGAACTGGGATTGTTTAGTCTGCGGAAGAGAAGAATGAGGGGGGATTTGATAGCTGCTTTCAACTACCTGAAGGGGGGTTCCAAAGAGGATGGATCTAGACTGTTCTCAGTGGTAGCAGATGACAGAACGAGGAGTAATGGTCTCAAGTTGCAGTGGGGGAGGTTTAGGTTGGATATGAGGAAAAACTTTTTCACCAGGAGGGTGGTGAAACACTGGAATGCGTTACCTAGGGAGGTGGTGGAATCTCCTTCCTTAGATATTTTTAAGGTCAGGCTTGATAAAGCCCTGGCTGGGATGATTTAGTTGGGGATTGGTCCTGCTTTGAGCAGGGGGTTTGGACTAGATGACCTCCTGAGGTCCCTTCCAACCCTGATATTCTATGAAGCCCAGAAATGCAGAAGTAGGAAAAACCTTTGTCCAGAACCTTTACTTCTCTGGCTCACCTTTGCATTCTGTCTGACTACACCCAGCACCACTGTCATGAGCCACATTGTAAAGTAAATGCAGTCTGAATGTTTTATTTTTCTTCCCTAGTATTGCAAGGTATTTGTACTTGTATCACAGGATCAAAAAGCAATCTGTGCGCCTATATTTACCATTGCTGCATCAAACTCCTTGTATCTATTCCTCCCTCCAAAGGATGCTTCAGTACTTCTAAGCAAGCAAGCAAGAAAGAAACCAACCTCTTGCATATGGCAGAACAAATTGCCTCAGAGAATCCTGATGCATAAGATTTTATTCATTCTGTGCAGATGTGATCTGCTTCCTTTAAAGGTTTTCGTTTAGGCATAATAATAGCTCTCATGTGCCAGGGGAAGGCTCTTAGTGGCTTTGCCTGGTTAATATTTTTCCTTCACTCTGCTGGCTTTGCATGCTGTGTGGGGTTTGTTTTGTTCCAGTGGATCTGTCATAGTTGGCTTGTTTTATGTATAAAACTGTCTGGCAAGCTGTAATGAAGGGAAAATGACCGTGGAGATGGAAGTTTCTTAGGACAGTGTGCAGCATAAAGCTGTTTGCAGACCTTTGACTTTGCACACTCGATACGACAGCAGAGAGATACCTGGGAATTGGAAATGGAACACGCCTATCCCCATGTGTCCCAGACTGGAACTCCATACCGTGCCACTGCCTGGTCCCACGTGTAGTTCCTGAAAGAGGCGCATTGGTCATATCTAACGAGACTGACCCCATGGCTAAGAGGAGGATCAGTCAGGCCAAGACTCCAGCGGCGTCTGAACAGGACAAATGCTCCTTGGTACCAGTGGGCTGGAAGGGTTCCCATAGTCACCTGTAGGAGCCTGTAAAGTTTCGCCCTTTCCCACTCATCTGCTCTTTTCTGTTTTCATAGTGGCCCTCTTCCCCACTCTGCCAGTGATACCAGCTTCAGCAACCTATTAATCCATGCCACTTTGATGCCTAGCTCCTATGGTTCTACTAATCAAAGGCATTATATAAGAACTGGGTGGTATTCCACACTGTATACACAGTGTGTTCCATAGAAATGCATACTCCTTTCACAATTTAACTTCCACTTTTTATTTGCTATAACATTATATTAGCCATATTAATTTTATTATATATTATACATGTATTTATGGATGGACTACCTTTCTTGAGATGCTCTGTAGGGCCACTGCCTTCTCATTCACATCCCTCTAAAATATCCTATTTCGTGGCAATGTTTGTTTGAGTACTTGGGGAATTCTCTGTCTAATTTTTTTCACATTGATATTAAAACACCTGGTCAGTTGCCTAATACCTTTTGTTACTTCCCTTATGTCTGAGTGTCTTTTAGATGATAAGGGACCATACCTTCTCTCCTGTTTGCACAGCACCTCGCACATTGTGAAGAATCTAAAAAACGCATTCCAGTAATGCCCAAATATTCTGTGTATAGATTGACATCCTGCTCAGCACATCTGACGTAGCTCAAATAAGCCACAAAGCTGATATATTTATTTTGTTTAATTCATTGGCTCAAGTAAAATTTGTTTTAGATGGAAAAACTTATCATTCAAATTTTAACAGTACACGACCCCTTATGACCTATTCTGTTTTAGTATAAAAACTGTACCCTGTACAAACCGGACGGACAAATCAATGAGTGGGGAATCATTAACTGTTGGTTGCCTATTGATAGCCAGGCAGTGGTGGAAGTTGCTACTGGCAGCGGTGCCACCTTGAGGAGGTTATCGCAGAGCCACATGGCCTATAATTTCACACCTGCTATAAATTGAAGGAGGCATGGTAGGAAATTTATCTTGATAACCTGTGTTTCATAACGGCAAACTTTAAGATTCATTTAAGGGAGAGTATGCATAAGTAACGTTGTGTTACCTGTAATCTGCCAGATTGGTGCACCAAGTAACCGCTTTGGAAGTGGAACCAACGATGCTTTACAATTTTCTCTCCATTTTATCTAGTTATAGGTTTAGCCACACAGAGCAAATCAGAGGAAGTAGTCTTTTCCCATTCCTCTGACCGTTTCTCTGTTTACATGCATCCCTATTTGTCTTGCACATCAAAGTGGCAGGGTTGATTTATTGTCATTCGCTCCAATAGTGCCTCCTTCCATGTATGCAATGGAGAGAAAACTCTGTGAAATTATATGATGCCCTTTTTTGCTAAGGCTCTTGATTTTAGCTTGCTCTGATTTAAGGGTAATGAACCTTGGCTGCCAACAAAATGAAACACCACTACAAGATCCACTTCTTCTTAGTACTCAACCTGCGTGGCTCAGACAGCCAGTATTGCAGGGTGTGTGGAATTCTCTATATCAACCACACCTGCTGCCTATTGTTAGCCAGATTCAAATGTGCAGGTCAGAGTGACAATAAACAGCTAGTTCCTCTCAAGTTGTAAGCACTCCATGGTAAAGCCACTCTGATTTATTTGAGATAGGTAACAGCAATTGTTTACATTTGGAGTGCTTCATATAAATGAACAGGAACAGCAGCTGCCTATTAACAAGTACAGTGTATGCTGAAAACGCTGACATGCCTCTTCTTGGTTCCCTAGTGATTCCCCACAAGATCGGGCGTGTTATTGAAGGGAGCCCAGCTGATCAGTGTGGGAAGCTGAAAGTGGGAGACCGTATCTCAGCTGTGAATGGGCAGTCAATCATAGAGCTCTCCCATGACAGTATAGTGCAGCTGATTAAAGATGCAGGCCACATGGTTACCCTGACTGTTGTTGCTGAGGAAGGTAAGAAAAATGCCTGCTTATTTCTCCCCAGTGCGGATACGAATGGTGGCACAGCCTGCAGGGTGCGGCGTCCTGCCACATGATCACCAAGTATTTCTGTAATAAAATAGATACAAAGCCCCAGAGTCTGGTTTTATATCTTCTTAAGTTAACAAGCTGAAAAGGAGGTGGTATAAAGACGTCGGAGGTTTTAGGAAAATAATCTACCTCGTGAGTGACGGATTGTGGAGCTCATTTCATTTGCTTGATGGAAGCTGGGCGCAAGTGCAGAGGAGTGGGGGAGGGGAGACACATGCAGAGATGGTTTTATTGAAAAGACAAGATTCAGGCATTATGAGAATCAGTGCTGTGGTATGGAGACCCCTCCACAGAAATCGGAGAGAGAGACTGCTCCTGACAGGAAATATTCCCCATCCAGCTCTAGCACTTCTTAGCGTGAAAAAGATCTGATCCTTCAAGTTTTAGAAGGGGGAAGAAATTACTGCACTCTGGGATGTCAGTGAAAAGTAGAGTTGAATTTTCTGAGCTTACTTGGCATCCTAGTGTTGTGCAGCAGGAATTCCCGTCAGGAGAGCCTCTGCCCCAGAACTAAACGGTAAGTTCCTACGGTGCTATTGCCTATGCACGTCCACAAGGCATTGCGAGTAGCATGGGGCAGCTCTGCCTCGGGGGCCCTGTTGCCAAACAGAAGTCAAGCACCCTAAGGCCTAGCGAATATCCAGTTCTTAGACATCCTGCCCTGCTGGGCATTTTCAGTGTTTTCCTCTTGCTCTGTGAAAATGCACAGATTTGCCTGATGCTGCATTTCCAGGACACAATGGAAACATTTTGTGGCCCTTAGTTCTTCTAAAGATACATCTGGAGAAAACTCGCATCCTGATCGCTGTTTTTTCTGCAAAGCCTCTCAGGTTGCTAGCAAATTCAGCGCACAAAACAGTGAAATCCTCTAAGCAGCAAAATGAATATTTGTGATGCCAAAGTCCCACCTTCAGAAATGGCATTTTCTAATGAAAGCTCCCATGCAACTCTGCTCTTAATATTATATTGTTCCCTACACAAATAGTTCACTATAAATGTGTAAAATCCAATCGTTTGAAGAGAGAGCTTTTTTCCAGCCCTGCTTACCACTGCATTTTTCTGGATTGCTGCTTGTAGGTTTAACTAAAGTTGCTATAATTATTTTGCAAGTAAGATGGGTTTCTCCACTCTTAAATAATAAATACTTAAAGCTAGTATGTGGATAAAGCCAACAAATGATTCCTTCTGATTTCACATTCATTGCAAATATTTAACATGGTATCTTGGCCTTTCATATAGAATATCAAAGACTTAATGTACCTGCTTATTAATGCTTGAAACAGAGAGGCTCTTTTTATTTATAAAATCCATTATATTTCAATGTCGCTTTCATGATTATCAGATCAAATTCATTTCAGGCCACAGGGATACAGCTCAAAGCAATCACCCTGCCTTTAATGCAGTTGGAGTTTAAGTTGAGGTTCCGCTAAGTCCATTTCTATCTAGTTTTTAATCAACCTTGTCTCTAAGATAAATTGCCTCTGCCATTAATATCTGAATGTAACACCCCTTTTCACACACCCTGTAGAAACCCTGATCTTAGCTTTTCTCCATTCCTAAGTCATATGGGATTTTCAGATAAAATTCAGAGATAAAACATGGACCTGAGTGAGAATCAGTGTTGGGAAAAAAATGTCAGTAACCGATTATAAAACCAGCCCAAAGTGACCAACAGGAGAAGCCATGTGGCTTGGAGATTTATGTAATGTTTGGAGGAACTACAGAAATCGATGTTGCTCATAAAAAAGAGTAAATTACTGCTTCTAAAATAATCACTGGTTGAAGTTTGGGGAACGTAGTTCAGCTAATGGCACAGCTGCAGTAAGCACCAAGTTCCAGATCACAAAATACTCAGCAGGCACTATCCTCCTTAGAGCAGTCAGACCCTGGGGAAAGCCAGGGCACACATTAGATCATGCAGACCTCTCAATCAGTTACACACTCTGGGAAGCAGGTTGGGCTTTATAGGGTTGGATGCCTGGCTACTGCTGCCACTAGTTAGTTGCATTGTGAATAACACTGAGGGGAGAGAGAAATACCCATTTAGCCGGAAGCTATTCAGCACCATAGTGCTCAAGCCCGGACTGACTTTGCTGTTCCCCAATGTATCTTCTGTGCTGACCTCTTAGATTGGCAGTGAAAATGCTACAATGCAACTCTCATCCCTCCGCTACTCCCCTCCAGCTTTCACAAATATGTATTCTTTACTTTTCATCCTTTGTCCCAATTGTGTCTCTAATTCTAGAATAAGTGAATTCCGCTCCATGCTCCAGAAGACATTTTATAACAGCCCCTAGTCATGTACTATCCAAAAACATGGGAGAGCAGGATGAGTGGAGGAGCTGAGAATTCATGCAGACAGATGGCCTTTTTCTTACCTGTGCTTATTAACTAAACCTTTGAACGTATGCCAGGAATAAATGTTGACGTTTGTCTTGGGAGGGAAGAAAACCTCTTCAAGGCATGTCCTAGCAATAAGGCCAGACAGCCCTGTGATGAACTCTGCAGGGTCTGGTATAGCTGAGAAATGCTGCAATCTAATTTAAGAATCTGTACTGAGAAGCAGTAATATGCTTTCCTTTACTTCTAGGTGCATAATTACTTGTGTTTTTCAGTTATTACCCTGAAATGCATTTACCTAACACACTCCTAGCAACAGTGAGCTGGAATGCCTGTGACACTTTCCATTATAAGCCCTTATTTTCAGGGTTTGCAACTGAACTATAAATGTTCATTCCAGGCTAAAACTTGCCCTTTCGGGTTTCTGAGTGCATTTTGGAGGAATATGGTTTGCTCTGCTTTTTGAGTGGCAGTCACTTCGTATTTCAAAATATGGTGAGGTTTTTTGTAAGTCATTTGATCAGACACATACAGTAAATGTGTTCTCTGTGTCAGAGACAGGTTCGCTTTGTGAAGGCTGCTAAGAGGGATTTTGTTAAAATGTCATTATAGGTAAATTGCCTGTTAAGGCTCTTTGAAGAGAGGGAGAACATTCCGATATTCCAGTTCTGATTAAAATATCTCCTTTAATACAGTTTCAGGAACCATTTGTAAACTTTCCCTGAGAGTTTACCTATGACAGATCTTCTCCACGATGGATTAGCAGATGTGACTCTCAGTAGTGCCTCCAAGAGCCCTGCTGGGTTGGGCTCAAAACCTGTTCACAGTGGAGCTGGAGTAGGGGTGGGGGAGGCATCATGATGATCTTTCTGATGATTTGTTAAATCACTATCAAATACTTTTTTGGGGGGAGGGACGATCCGCCCTGTGGATTTGTCTAGTTCTGACACTGCTCCTGCCTTTACCAGGTTACAGACAATCGAAATCTTAATATGTGCTGTCATTCCTAGAATAAAGTAGTTTAGGTTAGCAGAAAGTTCCTCCATGGGGAGGATGAACTTCACCAAATACCCTGATTTATGGAACTGAATCTAGAAATCTCCACTCCTCCGCTTCAGCGCAGCATCAACCTGGCATGTGACTGTCATGCAGCACAGATCTGCCCAGTAGCTTATCCTAAGGGAAACGGAAATTCTGTTTCTCCTGAAATTTTAAATTAAAAACCCTGCATTCTCACTCTGGGCACCTGACAACAAGAGCTGCTGTTTACCTAGAAGAGTAAGAAATGCTCAGAACAGCAATTAACTCTCTTGTGCTGTTTACTCCCCTCATACCACACAGTGTATTTTTAGAGGTCTGCTGTAATTCTGTTTTGTTTGACGTTATTAGAACACCGTGGCCCCCCTTCAGGAACCAACTCTGCCAAACAAAGTCCAGCCCCACAGCACAGACCTATGGGAACAACACAAGCCAACTCTGCAACAGCAGACAGGTATGATGCCTTTGTTTTCAGACAGATGGGAACCAAAAATGAACAAAGATTGAGCCTGGCTGGTGTGATAGCCCCAGCCTAAGTCATCCTTGGGTGAATCCGTGCACAGAAGTGAAGGGAAGGAGGGGCAGCCAACTGTGGGTCACATTCCCCATATCCTGCAGCAAGCCCTCATCTAGGTGCATGAGTGCATCATCCAGGGCACTGCCCTTGACTGCATCTAAAAGGCACAAATGCTCCATCGTTCTGGGTACCTAATGAGGACTTTAAATTGTGAGGAATTGTTGCCTCAGTAATTCCTTTATCAGCCTGGCTCTTATAATCTCATGTAACTGTTAGTGTTCATGCTGTGTGCTGTCTTTAGCATGTGTTGTGGGGACCTGTAATCGATACACAGACTATGCTCACTCAGAGCTGAAGACTCTCCCTGTTGTGTTACAGAAGAGGGTATCTGCTGAAGGGGTTGAGGAGAAATTAGAAATGTCATTCTTGTATGGCTAGGCTGTTCAGTGACCTGATAAATCAGGAGGCAGATATCTAAGACCAGCCCTGATCAGAGATGATGCTCCATCCCTTCAGCACTTTTCTCAGACCAAGGGGTGATTACTTATAAGTGGAAATCACCCAATAAAACCCCAATCAATAAATGGTTCATAAGATCCTGGGAAAAAGAAAAGGAGTACTTCTGGCACCTTAGAGACTAACCAATTTATTTGAGCATGAGCTTTCGTGAGCTACAGCTCACTTCATCAGATGGATTCGGTGGAGCTCACGAAAGCTCATGCTCAAATAAATTGGTTAGTCTCTAAGGTGCCACAAGTACTCCTTTTCTTTTTGCGAATACAGACTAACACGGCTGTTACTCTGAAAAAAGATCCTGGGAGACCCTGTCAATGGGGAAAACGTTTACAGGGATACATTGGCTGTGAAACAGAGTATCAGTTATGTAGCACAATGAAGAGATGGACATGGCTGGATTTTTCACCGATTTTTCCCATATTAGCATTACCATTATTACATAATAATTCAGCAGTACCCTACTACTGCAGGTAGCTGTTTGGATGATCTTTTCTTACCTGCTTCAATTAAAACAAACATTTAAAAATTACAAGTTTTCTTGATGCTGTCATTGCACAGTTTAAAGCCATTCATAGCAGTTCTGTGGTCTTTTTCTGGATGGTACACACAGATATTTTTTAATCATTCTGATGATGGCAGAGAGTCTGGGATTAAATCCTCAAGTGATTCATTTCCTGGATTTTGCATGTTTGTTACATTACTCAGAAGTACCTGATCATGTTCTGTCTGTGTATGAATTGGGGAGACTTCATTCTTAGGATAAACTAAACATTATAAACTGTTGAAACTGTCTCATTTGTGAGGGAAGAGAGAAGGTTTCCCTCTAAATGAGAACAGAGGGTAAGACTGAACTGCTCTTTTTGGTACTCTTTATAATCCTTGGGTTCACAGAAGACACCAGTGTCAGATATCCCTAACTCGGGAATTAAATAGCTGATGCAGCTCCTTGGTGCCAACCAACAGACTGACGATTGATGATCGTCTGTTGATGTGCTGCAGTAGGTTAAGGTTATAAATAACAGATGAAGAAACAACTATTAAATACCTTTTTAATTGTATAAGCTTTGCATAAGAAAACCATATTGTTGTACAACTGACGTTTCTTGCTGGTCCATCCAATAGTAACTATTGCAGATTAATTCAGTTTCCATGTAAATGTGACCTGAGTAACTTAAGCTTTCCTTCCATCAATTTGCAGGGGAGTCACAGAAGATGAAGCTGGAAGAGAACTTTCCAACAGTTACAGGCTTCCCTGGCCTGAGCACAAGCACTTGCCCCAGCCTGATGGCGGTGTTCTCTCCATTGTAGGCAGCCGTCATTCTCAGGTAGACACCTATTCTGAGGAGCCAAGAGTCTCTGCAAGATCCTGGTGGTACTGAGGCCCTAAAATTCAACTGCCTTGTATGCTAATAGTATAGGGCAGGAGTAGGTAACCTATGGCACTCGAGCTGATTTCCAGTGGCATTTACACTGCCCGGGTCCTGGCCACCGGTCCGGGGGGCTCTGCATTTTAATTTAATTTTAAATGAAGCTTCTTAAACATTTTAAAACCCTTATTTACTTTACATACAACAATAGTTTAGTTATATATTATAGACTTGTAGAAAGAGACCTTCTAAAAATGTTAAAATGTATTCCTGGCGCGCGAAACCTTAAATTAGAGTGAATAAATGGAGACTCGGCACACCACTTCTGAAAGGTTGCCGACCCCTGGTGTAGATTAACCTTTCCCTTAGGAGATACGGTGTTGAGATACTCTTTAGGAATGTGCTGACTAGGCATGTGTCAAACAGTAGAGAGGATGTTTTGCTAATAGTTAGTATTTTAATGTTGTTACAAACTTAGTTTAGTTTAATATTGCTGATCATTATAGTTATAAAAGAAACAACAAACCTTTGAAACAGAACTACTGTAACATCTTGGGAACATTCTATATGGAAAAACAGTTCATACATATTTAAGAATCTTAGAATTAAACTGCTCTGCAGATTTTGGCTGGGTATAACTCAGAGGTGGGCAAACTACGGCCCGCAGGACCGTCCTGCCCGGCCCCTGAGTTCCTGGCCCGGAAGGCTCGCCCCTGGCCCCTCCCCTGCTGTTTCCATTCCTCCGCAGCCACACAGGCAGCGGGGCTGCGAGCTCCTGCCGCTCTGAGCAGCATGGTAAGAGGGCAGTGACAGCGCATGAGGGGGCTGGGTAGGGGGTCCCGGAGGGCAGTCGGGACAGGGAGCAGGGAATGGTTGGATGGGGCGGAGGTTCTGGGGCGGTCAGGGGTTGGGGAACAGGGGGAGTGGGGTCCTGGGGGGCCTGTCAGGGGTTGGGGGTGTGGATAGGTCGGGGCAGTCAGGGGACAGGGAGCAGTGGGGGTTGGCTAGGGGGTGGGATCCCGGGGGGGACAGTTTGGGGCGGGGGTAGTCTTGGGACAAGGAGCAGGGGGGTTTGGATGGGTCAGGGGTTCCTAGGGGGACAGTCAGCGGGTGGGAAATGGGAGGGGGCGGATAGGGGGTGGGGGCCAGGCTGTTTGGGGGGCACAGCCTTCCCTACCCAGCCCTCCATACAGTTTCGCACCCCAGTGTGGCCCTCGAGCCAAAAAGTTTGCCCACCCCGGTATAACTCCACCTCATACCAAATCATATGATGTGAGTTTGTGATGAATCAGATTCAATTGCATGTTATAATGAATCAGATTCAATTCCATCCCTTCATAGCTGTGTATTAAAACCTGTCTAGTGTGTGAAACTGAAAGGATTTCTCTGGTTTTATAAAATACCTTTCCTGAAAATGTAGGAAACTAACAAAAGTTAAAATTCCTCAGTCCACAATTGTTTATCTCATTTCTTATGCAGAGTCTTGGCTGTTCTCCAGTAGAACTGGAACGAGGCCCTCGCGGTTTTGGATTCAGTCTTCGCGGAGGAAAGGAGTACAACATGGGCTTATTCATCCTTCGACTTGCTGAGGATGGGCCTGCCATCAAGGATGGAAGAATTCACGTGAGTGTCAGAGACACTGATGAATTCAAACAGGTCGGGCTCCTCAGGATGTTCATTACCCCGTCAAAGAATTTGCTTCCCTGCAAGTGGTTAATGTCTCACTGCACACACAAAACGGTTATTTACACTGCTCCAATCTAAGATTTGTAATTGCAGAGATGTAGCAAACTGTGTTGATAGTTTTAATGTTTCAGGAAGTAAAAATCCCAGCAGCATGTAGGGGGAAAGAAACGTGCTCTCTCTCCAAAAGACATAGCCACTCCCAAAGAAAGCTGGACGCCATCTACCCTAAAGACATAGTAACAGATGTTTCTGACAATGAATTCTTCTCTATAGACAGTAGTTGGCCAGAATGAGTGCCAAACAGAATTTTTGGAAACCCAGACTGAAAATAGCACAATGAAATGCAAGTCTGTTGGAAGGTTCCCAGAGTCCAGGTAAATGTGGGTTTGTGAGAGCACCCAACCTTTGTTTTTAAGCTGAGCTTTCGTTGTTCAGCATGGAATTTTAAAATGTTTCCAAACCAAGTACCTTCCCTACCAATGTATCCTAATGTTAATTCTTGTGTGTCATGTCTAAGAATCCCGCTGTTCAAATATTGTCCCCTAAACAAACCGAATGTGTGCAAAGGGAGAAGGCAGTGTTACTGCAGTTGGAGACTGTAGCAGGGCAGTGACCCTGCTCTGGCCCTGAAAGGGTTAAAAGCCAGCCCTTGCAGAGGGCTGAGAGCTGATAAGAACAGGCTGATTGGGAAGGCAGCCACAGCTGGGGCCATGCCCCAATCAGGCCACAGCTGGCCTGAGAAAAGAGCTGTGAGCCAGGAGCTGAGGCAGTCTCTCTCTAGCTCTTGAGAGAGAAGGACCTGGCTGCCTGGGAGAGAAGGGTACTTGAGACAGAGCATTGCTGGGGAAAGGGTGGAGGAGTTGGGGAGCTCCGGCCTCAATAGAGGCCTGTGCAGGTACAGGGGCTGGGAGGAGCAGCCCAGGGTTCGGCAGAGGCAGCTGGTCCAACCTCCTTGCCAATGATGTGTGGTTTACAGACTGCAGTCTGCCCCAGTGAGCGGGGCCTAGACGATGACTGGCAGCAGCCACTGAGGCAAGGTGGGGATAGAGGGTTGGGGGTTCCCTTGGGAGGGGAGACCCAGAGTGTGGGGACACTGCCAGGGGGCAGCATCCCACGGTAAAGGGCACCAGGATCTGGGAGGGACACGGGGCCAGCGGCAGGCAAGACACTGGCGTGCAGAGGGTGCTCCGAAGGCTGGAAAGAGCTAATTCCCAGGACAACTAGCAGGAGGCACTGCACCAATGAGTCTCATCTTGCTACAGAGACCAAATACAGTTCTGTAATTACTGTCCATAAAATGACTTTGTACTGGCTGAAGCATGGAACTGAGCATCAGGGACTCTTAGTTCTGATTCCATTCCTGCCAGTGACATGTGATACAGCCCTTTACACAAGTCACTTCACTTTCTCTGTCAGTTTTGTAGTGTGCAAAGTGAAGGCAGTAATAGACTACTTTTGAGGGCTGATGTCAGGCTTAATTGGATGCAAAATTCAAAGAGTTAAGTTTTAATGTGCTAATTCTTAGCATTTACAGTCATTAGTTTTTCTTATGCTTGGGAGATTGCTTGAGTCTTATAGTGCTGCTTCTGTTTTCTCTTGTACTGCTCTTTCAAGTGGGGTTATGCTAAGCTCCAGAGCTTTGCGTTCAAGTCACCAGCATGTGAAGACTTCCCAGCTGCAAATAAACTTGGACTTTCATTGGAGAAATTTCACAGCAATAAACAGAATCAAATATATACAATTCCCTGAACTCTGTCTGGGTTCAGCTTTATAAACTCCCAATCTATTGGGGGGACACAATATAACTCTTCGGGCTCTGTTCTCAAAAATGACATCAGCACACTTATCTGCTTTCTCCTGTGGATCATCTGTGCCAAGAACGGGTGGGCTGTAGGGTAAATTTGACTGTGGGGTATTCATAATAAAACAAATTTCAAATATTCATCTTCACATTGGAACTCATCGTTCTTTCATTATACTTCTATGTGACATCTGCATTTCTCCAAAGATCTGGTAGGCCAGGCCAGATAATTGTGTAATAAGATCTCTTCCTCCTCTCACCAGAGAGAGATAGGAAAACAAAGCTGTGGTGTCCTCCCTGTTCCTCTTCCCACGGCACTTTACCTAGCTGATCACACCCAGCTCTTTCCTCTCTCCCTGCAGGTGCTGATCACCTTCTGGTCATCTAAACTAGGGGATTCATGGTTTTAGCAGGGCTCCTCTTCCACTGTAGCAGTCTGTATGGAGCAGCCCACTGTTATCTGCTTCCTGCCCCTGCTAGAGGCAGGTATTGTTCCATTTCAGAGCTCCATGCTGACTGACATAGAGGGTGCAGTCTTGGCTAGGCTGTTTCCCAGGGGACCTCAGTGAATTAGCTGGGTGCCTGCACTGTATGGGAGAGGCATATTCAGCTGTGTTTAAAAGGCCGTTTCCATACTTGAAGCAGTAACAGTTTCACACCTGAACTATAGCACCCTGAAAAATGAGTTCATAATGGGACAGCCTCATCTCCTGTGTCTTGGCAGCAGGTATGTGCCCCCACCAGCCCTTGAAAGGGACATGCTTTCCATGTCCACTGGGCTGATCATGCATATACCCGGATAAAATTGGGAGCTCTCTCTCATCCTAGTGCAGCTGCACCAGAGGTGGCAGCCATGGAAGCACTCGAATAGGCTGACACCGGAGTCCTCTCTGTACCAGTGCTCCCCTTGTTGCTGCTGTCACTGGAGCCAGACCCTGCTGGGAATCTTGAGTCCTGAGGGCCAGCAAGGCTGAAGAGGTGTCATTATTATACTCCATGTGGTGGAAAATATTTGCAACCATCTCCTTCATGGTACCTGATTCTTGCAAGGACCACTTCTCATCGCTGCTGTTGCAGAGGTCAGAGGGATAAATAGATGTAATGCTCAGAACAAAACATAAGGAGTGATGTCAATGACAACTGAGGGAGCAGGTTCTGGAAACAGGAGGTACCTCTAAATTCTTCCTGGCCAGGACAGAACGTTTCCGTGCCTAGATAAGCTTGTACACTAGTCTGTGCTCTCCAGGCTTTCCCAATTCAGCCACTGAAATGGAACTAGGCCTTTCCCAGCCCCAATTTAAGTAGTACGTTTGGATACTGACACAAAGGAGCTCTAATAACCCAGTTTGCAGCTGGTTTGAACACTAGATGGTAAAACGCACCTCGGCCCTGTGTTTTTCCAAATGGCTGTATGTCGTCATCCTCATTCATTTATTATTGTATTAGTGCTCCATGATCATAGGGTTCTATGTGGGACTATCACCTTCAGTAATGTTTTATGAAACTGATCTAAGTAAGATACATGCTCTTTAAACTGCAACTTTTATGCAGTAGTGACACCTAATGGAAAATCGGTTTAATTGCAAGACGGACCTCATGATCTTTCATGGGTTAGAACCCAAATGCTTGGATATTCTGACATCCATTATCTGATACGTTTGTAAATTTGCATCAAAGTCCGTAAAGCTGATATCTCACTAGTCGGGACTGAGCTAGTATTGTCGTACAGTGATCTCTCTCAGAATAATAAATCCTTTCCTTTATGAGCAACCCTCTCAGCTATATTAATATAAGGGTGTTTGGTTGTAATTTTAGAGTAATTACCACATACACATGATTTTAAGTATCTTCATGGTGCAAGTCTTTATAACAGAGCATCAACAAATTACTTTTATGGAGTGAAGATGTACTCAAGAACATGGATGTATTAAACATTTATCAAATGGAAAATTCATTTCAAGTAACCTGAGCCCTTGTAGGGAAGCCAGCTTGGCAGAATATCTACATGAAGAATTCACTGAACAGCCCAATGGCTGAATTACATTAATTGTATATGTTAGTGGTTGTACGAGAGTGGGTTTCAGAGAATAGAAGGGACTAGGGAAAAGAAAAGCTTGAGTCGAGCTATGGCTTTTCCTATATTGAATAAGAATCCAGTTACAGTAGCTGTGCTTCATGAAGTTTAACCTGGCTGGTATTGTCTTTTCAGGTTGGTGACCAGATTGTTGAAATCAATGGCGAACCCACCCAAGGTATCACTCATACACGAGCCATCGAGCTGATTCAAGCAGGAGGAAATAAAGTTGTTCTTCTTCTGAGACCAGGGACTGGCTTGATACCAGATCATGGTAAGTTACAGGTTGTGCCAGTTTGTCCCGAGGGGACCGGGGGAAGGTGGTAAATAGAAATGTGTGTTGATTAATGTCTAAAGAGGTTGGATGCTGTTGTGTAAGCACTGAAGCTATTCAGCAATATCCTTCCATTTCTGCTGACTTTCAAGCTGCCTGTTTTCATACAAGCACAAATAATGTGACCAGAAAAAAAAAAAAAAAAAAACTGTTGCCACATAATAATTTTACTGAAAAACCTTGGAAAGACGCCATGACATGTAATGTTGTTGCAAGTATTCTTTTGGCCATGGTTTGTTCTGATGCTCCCATCCATCTCCAACTTGATTTCTGTGTTTCTCTACACATATTATAATTAAAGACATAATTTGATTTTACATTTGAATAAAATCTCATATGGTATTGGGCTTCTGTCACGCTTCACAACCAAGATGATTATTTTTGTGGGTGCTTCAGTTTCTCTTATGAACTTAAACTGTAAAATGTTAAAAAAAAAACTTCTGAACGAGTGAAAATTTTGCTCTCGGAATAGAAAACTTTAATTGTGACACTTGTTTTTTGCACATAAGGCAGCAAAGCACAAATCCCTAAGCAAATTGCTTGGGCAGAAATGCCTGTAAGAGCTTTGACTGAGTTCAACTGCAGGGCATGCTCCAAAATCAAAGCTATTTGTGGCTGTCACAGTATTTCAAAGCAGAGCACATTGAGAGCAAGAGAATTTATTCCTCCCCATGCCAATTCTATCCTTTCAACCCTTCGCAGCTGCTGTAAGGCTTTAGACAGGAAAGTATTTAAACCATGTAAGGATCCTTCTTATAGCGTAACAGCTCTGTAGTAAAATTGGAATGGTTAGATACAGAGCCACTTTCCCTTTGTAAAAGCCCATGACTTTCATAAACAAATTAAAATCTGACACCTTGAACCTTCAAGCATAGTGTAGCCTATGCAAGTTTGTAGCATTCTATTATATGTAGGCAGGACTCGACCTCCACTTACAGATGAAATTGTCTAAAAATGTTTTCCTATATTTTTCCCTTCTCCCCACTGAGCTAGAAAATAACTTAAAACATCATGGTCCTAAAATACACTGCCTGGTTCCATCAGAGCAAATAGTACAAAGAATAAAAGCGAAGTATCTCTGAACTACAGGAAGACTTAGTCTTGTTTTTATCCTTTTTGTTAGATCCCCTCAATTGTCTTCTATTGAGATCACATGTATCTCCTACTGAGATAGCCCTTATGCTAGTAAGGCTTGGTTAATTAGTATTTTGAAAACTTAAAACAGATCTCTTGAGATACTGCTGAATTTTTAGGCTAGGCTACCCTCTAAGAGTGTAGTAAACCTTTGTATGCCTTGTGTGTCTCCCCTAAAAATAAATATTAAACACATCTGTGCCCATAAACAAGAAAGGAGCCCCTCTAAGTGAATTCCAGGTCTCTCTATTGACCGTAGGTATTTAAGCATACAATTACAAACCTAAGATCTGTTTTGCTTTTTCATGCAGTTATAAGTATTTGGCACAGAAGTGTGCTGCCTTTCATAACAATAGCAGCTGTCAGTAATATTCCACAGCTCCCTCCCTCACAGAATTCTGCCAGGCCTAAGTGCAGCAATTTAGTGGGGAGGGGGGTGGCTCTTCCATACTATCACCCTGTTGGCTCTTGTGTTCTGCATTTGAATCGTACACTTCTAGTGAAAGCTTTTGCTTCCTGTGATTTTTGGTATATAGTCCTGGGCTTTTTCTCTTCCTTATTCAGGTCTGGCTCCTTCCAGTTTGTGCTCCTACATGAAACCTGAACAACATTAAGGCTTTCAGTGCTTTTCTTGGTCTTTCCTTAAAGACTTGGTAAATCTGCATGTCTTGTGATTCACCTCTTTTTTTTCTTTAAGTACATTGCTATAAATAGTAACCTCACCTTCTCCCTGTTTTCAGTATTCTTTTGGTATGAATTGCAACAGTGTAGGATAGGGATTTTTAATTCTGCTGCGTGAGGCCTATAGCTATGCTGAACCTCACAAGCCCTTACCAGCATTCTTAGCCTGTATTTTTCCCAAAAAAGTTGTTTTCTGTGAGCTAAAAATTTAAGTTTACAGCTGAGTGAGGAAATCTCCTTCGTTTAGTGTGTTATAGAATATAAGTTTGTTGTTTTTTTTTTTAAAAAGTGTTTAGATCATGTTGTGGAAGTTCATTACATTAAGATATTTTAGATAAATGTTTGTGAATATTGGTTAAGTGATTTTTTGTCACACCATTGTGCTGCTTCACTTCCAGGTGATCAAGATAGTTTTAATCCATCATCCTCAAATATAATATATGATGAACAGCCACCATTACCCACCTCTGCAGTATGTGATTTACCAGTACTGGAAGACGCTTTAGCGAATGTTCACATATCTGAGAAACTGGAAGAAGCTAAAAACACTGTGCCTGAAAAGAAAAGCACTTTAACTGAAAACCAGTCTAAACCGAAACATATGTCTTCTACCCAGGAGCATATGAAGAGATGGGACCAGCCTACCAGTCTAGATTTAGTAACTGATGACGACATTAGAAGAGAGAGAGCAGAGAGTCCAAAAAAATTGGGCACATCTGGGGAATTGCAGCAAGCAGGGCTCCACAGTCCAAGAAAAAGTGAGACACAAAACACACACAGCAATCTCTTAGACCAGTGTGAGCAACCCAGGAGAGGTGAGAATACACACACACAAATCAATTTAAAAGAAACTTCCAGAGGAAACAGAGGCAGATCTGCCAGTCCCCAAAAGCATCCCAAAAAAGAAGAAAGTGCGGACAAGTCAGACAAGTTACTAGACTCTCAAGATAAAATAGCTGGTGGTGATGGTGATGTTGAGACTAATGAAAAATCAGGAGTAACACAGCAAGACAGAAAGCAGAACATTGCTGGAAAGAAGAAGAAGAAGAGGTCTCAAGAGAGAAAAAACCCAAGAGCAGATGAAAAGACTCTTCCATTAAATAAGGCTAATGAGCCTAGGAAAAGAGTAGATGAAGATGAAAAAGCCAATACTGGAGAGCCAACTTCTAGCGACTTCAAAACTGCAAGTCTTTCTGATGTTTCACAGCTTTCCAAGGGAAAAAAAGGTAGGCTCCAAACACAAGATCCAGTTATTCTGAACAAAGACCACACAGAAAAAGGCTTGGAGCCAACTGATGAAACCAAAGATGATGGAATTTCAAAACCTGAATGCAGCTTTCCAGTTAAGAAAGCACCAATAACTCCTGGACCTTGGAAGGTACCAAGTGCAAGTAAAGTCACAAAAGCAACAGGTGTCACTGAAAAACGGGTTTGACTGAAACATTTTTAGAACATGTTTTAATCAGGTTTCTAATATGGTCAATTAAAAGCATCTTTTTTCCACAAAGTTGTCATTTTTCAGAAACTAACTCCAGGGGCTGGAAAGTACATTTGATTTGTTCTTAAATTAACTAAGCTGCATGAAGGAGCTCTTCCATAAGCTGCTGTCCCCTCATCCTTTGAAGGCAGTGTCCTGCTGCTCTCTCAACATTGCACTGCTAAGGCTTTCTCAGATAGTATTGTGAGTTTCTGAACAAACTTTAATGCCTATATTGCCAATGTGATCATGACTCACTTCTTGTGCCAAGTTATCTACTGTAGCCAATCAATTTAATCCTCCTGGTAGGTTTTCCCCAGACTCAAAGCCAAGATTTTGTTTGAAAATAGCTATTTTCTCAAAGGCATGTCGCATGTTTATATAGGGGAATAATTAAGAGTTCTCACAACTTCAGTAAGGTGAGTGTGCTGGTTCTATCAACTCTAGGGCAGCAAATGAGCCACTGATGCTGCCCCACTGGATTCTTTTTCTTAAAGTTCCTAATAGCCCATGTGAAATTTAAAAGGATAATTGCATTTTGGTGTGATCTATGGGGTTAGTTTTGCTTTCTAGGAGCAAAACAAATTTGCTTAATTCATTTAAGGTAATTATAGTAACTATCTGCAAAACATGTATTGCAAATATCATTTTGAAGACTAAGTGGTGAAATCCTGGCCCTGTTAAGTTACTGGCAAAAACACCCATTGGCTTCAGTGGGGCCATGATTTTATCTTGTCAGTTCTTTGGAAATAAGGAATGGATGTGGTGCTGTGCTTTCAACCTCCCTCTGGTACTGTATGTCAGAGCACCACATACGGTATGTTTTAAAAATACTTGGAAATGTCCCATCTTTACCTGTAAAACTAAAAATTGATATGTAAAAGCAGTATTTGAAACAGAAAATCCTGCTGTTGCAAACTCAGACAGAACCAACCACCACCAACAGCTTCTTAAAAAAAGTCCCTCTTACCTGTGCCTACTATTCGAAATCTCCTGTTTTATTTGTGTGTAATTGCTTTTGGTTGAGTGAGAAATAGTTGACATACAGGGTACATGAGACTTAATATCTATTGTTTGGGCTTCAATATGTATTTAAATAACATTGAGGAATGTTAAGATATTTTTATATCAGTTAACTGTAGGACTAGCAGTCTGCAGAAATTTCATGGTTTGATTTACTCAATAGCATTAATGGATTTGATTTCCTGACCTGTGCTAGGTTTTCAGTGACTGCAAATAAAAAAAACACTAAAAGGGGCTGGGCCAGTTCACAAAAGCAGAGGAAAAAGGTAAGGAAAGTCAAGATCAGTTGCTGTACCCTTGTGTTAAACTAATCTGACTTGCTCATTAAAAATATAATTGAACTGCTGCTAAGTTGATTAGCCTCCCAAAGCTTAAAAAAATCAGTTTTGACTGGAAGCTAGAAACTTTTGAAATAGACAACTACTCAGCAGTAGGCTTAAATGAACAGTGCTTTAAAATCTGTTTATTTTACAACATCTGAACTGTCCTCTGCTGCTTCACATTTTATGAATCCATCAATTTGCTGTAGCATAAAGTGTACAAATCCTCAATATTGTAGAGTTTGACTGTGAAAGTATGAGTTAGCCTATGTAGATATTAATCCTGTATTCTTGGTTGATAAACCTGTGGGATCCTCTTAAGTTGTATGCACTTGTTTAACCATTGAGAATAGTACCAAATTCAGAAATTTAATACCAAGATGAATTAGCACCACTGAAATTATCAGCAAGTACCCATCCATCCAAATGCTGTTTTCTAATTGTTAACGTTGTGTCCTGTTTGTGAGTCTTTTCCAGAGAACTTGTACCTGTACTTACTGTATAAGGTGACTTAGCAATGTGGCCTTGGAATGCTAAGCAACATATGGATGTACTGGATGTAAATGTTTATATATTGTACAGCACCTTTATATACACACTGAGGTTCTGACTAGAGAGACCTGTAAATCGCTCATTATTTTTTATATAGATATATTAAAAAGAAACTCCCATTCACAGCCTGTTCATTCTTGCACTTTTAAATGTTAGCTGTAGACTCATTTTACAATGATGCGGTCTGCATTAGAACTGTCTTAACTAAATATACAGCCCTAAACATCCATATTTTCCACTGATAAATTGCCTTTGTCATCTGAAAGTTACCTTACCTCCCTTTTCAAGTGTAACATACTCAGCCACAGTCCTGCAAAATATAGTACCAGCTGTTTGATGGAGTTTGCTTCCATGGATTTATTTGTATTTTAAATGTCACTTTTTACATTTTTACTAATTTTCATTGTACAGAAAATAGCTTTGCATAAACAATTTACTACAAAAAATGACCTATGTCATCGTCCCTTTATGGTGTGAGATGGAACAGTGGATTTAAAGGAATCCTTTTCTCTGACAATATTAGTCCTATGACTGACTTACTATTTATTGGAAACTAGCAAAGTCACCAGCTGCACTTACAGCATAACAATTTCTCCTAGGGAGGTGGCTTTAGATTCTTTCCTCATACCATTTGTAGATTAACCTCCCCATAACAAGATCTCACATTCCTTCCTCTCAACTGGTTTTCACAATCAGTCCTTACCCCAGAGAGCCATTTACTTCTTTGTCCAAGGTTCTGTATCAGGAGTGTTACATAAAAGGCACCTATCCTTTAAGAGGCTGTGCATTAGAATAGGGGAATCTTCTTCTGTTCCACTTTTACCACATCTGACTTCTACTTACCTGTGTAACAAAGGTAAGGTACTATAGAAGTAGAAAGCACTAATATTTTCCAGAATGCTTTAACAGCCCTATTGACCTACCTTGTCAAAACTAACCAAATCAATACCAAAGATTTGAAGTGTTATATGTAAATTGTTAGTCTTGTGAAAAAAGTGTTTATATACTGATGGTGCTTTACAGAGCGAGCTGTTGTAGAGAACAAGTGTTACCATATTCCCTCTAGGAGAATGCTTTGCTTGTTCTATTAGGGCTTATCAATCAAGAATAATGAGGAGTTTGAAGAACACTTAATTATATGAAAACTCTAGTCTCTCCTGGTGCGTGCAGCAGAGTGGCTTTAATGTTGCTATGCAACTGAAAGTTTAACTGCCAAGTGCCCTTGGAGGCAATCTGTCTTGGGTGGACTGACCTTTCATGAAAGGCTGCAGTTGCACAGAATAAAGGTCCAAAGCAGACTTGGCCTCTCTAGCCTAAAGGCACTTATTTGAATGTTTTGTTTACTTGAAGCTACTATACACATGCACTTGTCTATCAAATGGGGCACTGGAAGAAGACTGAAAGAGGAACAGGGATCTGCTCTAATATGTAAAGGCAGACAGCAGAATTTTAAACTCTACTCCCTCACCATCCAAAACCTGCAATGTTGTTCTGGACAGTTATTAGGAAAGTGAGTCCTCTTGTCAAGGCCTTAACACCCTATTTTAACAAATGAAGAGCTTATTTAGATCTTAAAGCAGTAATTGGGAGTCATAATACTGACTGACTGCAGTGAAATTACAGTCTCATGTTAACAGAGGAAATGGAGAAGCTGCCACATCAAGTTAGTTGTGTAACAGAGCCGACCTGCTGCAGTAACTTATCTATCCATATAGAAATAGGCTTTAACAGGGCCACAGACACAAGCTATTGTATACAGAATCCCATATAATTGTTTTCCTACTGTTTTGAGGCCCCTCCAAAATGTGTGGCTGCTGCATACTTTAGCCCCTACTTAATATGGAAATGCCCTTAGAACAGTGTCACTCTGTTGGACAAAACAAGTTTTGTTTACTTAGTGTGCAAGGCCTGGGCTGCCCTCACAAGTTAAACTAGTTTATTCTGTAGGCTCTGAAACTAAGCAATGTAAGAAAACATCTTTGATACATAAAGAAATATGCCAAAATTTAGAACCACCTCTGTCTCAAGCCAATGTCTTGCTTCTATCCAGTGTCCTGATGATTTGATAATCCTCACAGCCTTGAGGGCAGGCTAGTTCATGGTTTGATTTTCCATAACTGAAAACAGAGGTTAGGAATTGGTATTTATGAGAGACTTCAAATAAAAAAGCAAAACAAGAAAACTCTTGAATAAATTACAGCCATTGTAAAAAAGAACATGCAGCTGCTAGTCTTTGAAAGACTGAGTAAAATGCATATTACATAATGGTTTAGGTATGCTAAACTGGGAATTGGTCCTGCTTTGAGCAGGGGGTTGGACTAGATGACCTTCTGGGGTCCCTTCCAACCCTTATATTCTATGATTCTATGCTAGTAAACTAACAATTGAGGCAGCCAAAAACTTGTAGTTTTAGGACTGTCAAGCACACAAGCAGGTTTTTGGGGTGTAGTAATCTGAATTTATTCAGTCACCATTCCTGCTGTCTTAACACATGAGTGGGTTTGCCCTAAAACACAGATAAGAGGGGGAACACAGGTGAAGCAACTGTACTAATGACAGTAAGTTAGTGGCAAAACCAGAATTAGACCCAGGTCTTCCATAAGTCAATTGGGTACCAGTCTCCTAGAACATCCTCCTTGCCATCTCAAATGGCAGCTACACTTACTCTGATATTGAATCCAAGAAGATCACTTATAACACCTGAGATGGCAGACAGGATCACAACTCGTGTGATGTTGTAGATTAAAGGGTTCATAGTCAGGCCATAGAGTCTAAATGGTGTGTCTAACTCCTGTAATGAGAAAATGGAAGTTAGATCTGGACCCAGTTGTAGTCACCAACAACATTTCCAATTACTCTGATAGCCTGCTATACCTCAGACAGACTTCTGCCAACCAGACCCTGCAAAATCCATTGGGTATATTAGATAGGCATCTCTGCCTCCTCAGGGCTGAAGAATTTCACTGACCCTATCATAGAGCTTGAAAATCTTCCTTATGGCAACACTTAGTAGGCTGGTTAACAGTTTAGAATTTTAACTCTGGGGAGCCTCCTGTAGGTGTCACCAGGCTCCTTCCCATCCTGTCTAGTAATAAATGACTGGAATCCTAAAATTCTGCTGAGGGAGAATGAGGAAACAAGACAGTACAACCGGTATGACAAGTCAGTTCTCCACCTTCTTATGCACATTACTACTGTTAACAGCCAGCACCTCAGTCATAGATAACCCTATTGTGCGAGGCACTGTATAAAGACAGTGTCCTTTACCCCAGAGAGCTTACAGGCTAAGACAGACAACAGATGAGAATACAAGGAAGAAATGAGATGACATTGGTCAGCATGACAGGCACTGACTGATCTCACACTAGTGACCTAACTGTCTTTTTTGGTAGGCAACAAGAGTTAAGGATAGGAACTCACCTTCAGTAGCTTTGTAGACAGTTTTAAAACATTGTTCACTAGAGAGAGCTGTTCTTTCTTGTTTGGCTTCTTTTCCATCTTTAAGTATAAGTTGATCTGTGACAGAAACAGGTATTAGAGCAGATTTTACATTCAATCACTTCACCCAAGTCACAGCTGTTTACAGCACAGGGACCAGTCAGTTGTGAAGACCTACGCAAAAAAGTCACTACCCTGCCCATGGAATGGTGCTTACTTGCAGTTTAAGTGCAGCAGTAATAGATTAACAAACATCCAATTTTCCCCAGAGTGATAGGGTTCTTCTCACCCCCAGCTATCAACCAAAAAATGAACAACATTTGGGCCTGGATAACTGGCTTTTTTCTTTTAAGCCTGCTGTAGGAGGAGCTGCTCTATTATGAATAAAAAAATTCAAAGGGGTCTTAAAAAAAGCACTAAGCTGAAATGAGGGAGGAGTTATTTGAACCACAAAGATCACTTTCATACTAGAAAACAGAGTACTTGTGGCACCTGAGAGACTAAAATTTGAGCATAAGCTTTCGTGAGCTACAGCTCACTTCATCGGATGAATTCAGTGGAAAATACAGTGGGGAGATTTATATACACAGAACATGAAACAATGGGTGTTACCATACACACTGTAACCAGAGTGATCAGTTAAGGTGATTACCAGTAGGAGAGCAGGGGGGGAACCTTTTGTAGTGATAATCAAGGTGGGCCATTTCCAGCAGTTGACTAGAACATCTGAGGAACAGTGGGGGTGGAGGGGGGAATAAACATGGGGAAATAGTTTTCCTTTGTGTAATGACCCATCCACTCCCAGTCTCTATTCAAGGCCAGTCCTTGCTTACAGACAGCCCCCCAGCCTGAAGCAAATACCAGCAACCACACAACAGAACCACTAACCCAGGAACCTATCCTTGCAACAAAGCCTGTTGCCAACTGTGTCCACATATCTATTCAGGGGACACCATCATAGGGCCTAATCACATCAGCCACACTATCAGAAGCTCGTTCACCTACACATCTACCAATGTGATATGCCATCATGTGCCAGCAATGCCTCTCTGCCATGTACATTGGTCAAACTGGACAATCTCTATGTAAAAGAATAAATGGACACAAATCGGACGTCAAGAATTATAACATTCAAAAACCAGTTGGAGAACACTTCAATCTCTTTGATCGCTCGATTAGACCTAAAAGTTGAAATTCTTCAACAAAAAAACTTCAAAAACAGACTCCAACAAGAGACTGCTGAATTGGAATTAATTTGGAAACTGTACACACTTAACTTAGTCTTGAATAGAGACTGCTGGAAATGGCCCACCTTGATCATCACTACAAAGGTCCCCTCCCCCGCTCTCCTGCTGGTAATAGCTCACCTTAAGTGATCACTCATTACAGTGTGTACGGTAACACCCATTGTTTCATGTTCTCTATGTATATAAGTCTCCCCACTGTATTTTCCACTGAATGCATCCGATGAAGTGAGCTGTAGCTGTAGCTTTATGCTCACATAAATTGGTTAGTCTTTAAAGTGCCACATGTACTCCTGTTCTTTTTGCGAATACAGACTAACAGCTGCTAGGATACTAGAGAACAGTAAGCCCATGGAGGGTGACCTGCAGCTGAGATACCTGTTCAGTGAGCAGGATTGAAATATTACTATATTTTTTGTTGGTTTCAGAGCCCAATGATGCCAGGCGCAGTAGAAAAAGGAGGAGGGCTGTTTCCCAGATGAGGAACTCCCAGTTGTAAGCTGCATTCAGGAATGTTTTATGCCCTTTTAAAACCTGTATTAAACAAAACAATGAAATTGGCAAATAAACTGAAATGTTCCTATTCACCTACCATAAACACTTCTATTCAACACATAGAAGCAGCTATGGCCTGTGTGACCACCATAACATCTATCAGCCAAAGCAATTTGCCACCCACAAATACATGAATAAAGGTAGGACAGTAATTAAAGTGAAGACAGACCAGTTTACATCAGCCTGATTAATATATTAATAATCATTCTCTTTATCCCTGCTATCTGATAGCTAGATACTCTGAAGAGTGCTGCCCAATGTAAATGCATTTTGATTATTAAAGGAAGTGATTGGATGAGTCTTTCCCTCAGCAAACGACACTGGATCCCAACATTACTACACTCAATGCAAAGCCAAAGTTGAGAAGGGCAGTTAACTAGCAAAAGCATAAGCATTCATCTGCAGCACAATGAAACCGTTCTGCAAACTGTTGCTAACAACTATACTTAACTACAAAAGGAAAAAAGCCTCTCTGAAACCTATTTAAGGACTAAAATCCACCTTCAAAGCAGTTACCAGTTATACTTGACAGGAATTTTTCCACTGGCTTTTTATTGCTTACAAAACATAAATGGGAGTCTCACCTGTGCACAGCATATGAAAGCAATTGATAGAGCCAATAAAAAGATTGAAGAGACAACTACATCCACAGATCGCTGGGGTCCTCTCCTCTGTGGAAACAAACGTTTAATCGAATCTGAGAAACCTTTTGAATTTCAGTAAAATATAGCAATAGTTTTTCGCTACCCAGGAAAGAGTTGTAATATCCTCAACTCCAGCTTCTGCACCTGGAGTCCACCTGCAACCTTCCACCAACTTTGTTTACACCATTTGCTCTAGTCTGTTAACATTTAAACATACTTGCACTCGTTGGATCATGACTTGCCTTTAGATAGGAGCGCAGTGATAACCAAATTTTAATATTCTCCACCTTCTTGAGTCTGAAGTGGGGGATTTCATACTTCCTGGCTTTCCGGGCAGATGTTATATGACTAAAAAGTTTGGCAAACAAAAAACGCTGCAAAGAAAAGTGCGTCAGTAAAGAAAATCCACATTGATATAGTCCAATGTTAGCTTCCATAGGGTGCTTAATATAATATGTACATTAGTTGCTAAACAAGTTATTTGTGCTTGCCAGTGGTTGGAATAATATTCCTGTATAAGAGGAAACCATGACAGCTTTAATAAATGAGAGATACTAAAGGATACCACTCATCCCAGTATACCATATCTATATTAACAGTAGCAAACTGGCAAAACTGTTAACCACATTCCCCTGTGGAAGGATGTGATAGATACAAACACACATCCTTATGACCTGGGCCCATCAGAGGATTTGTCTTCAGGCCAATCAAGTCCAGCCAGGCAGCTGTAGTCTTCACCAGGAAATAATGAATGTGACCCCAAGTGGGACACTTATTTCTCATTCTAAGAGAAGTCTCATAACTAGGCTTCACAGTACAGGTAGGGCTAATACCTTTTCCTAGATTGCTCCAATTTGCCTCAGACTTTTAAGATAGCAAGTACTTAAAGGTTAATTTCCTTTCAGCAGTACAGAGAAAAAAAACAAGCTTTAAAGACTAATTCACGGTGGACATTAGTCTTTGTATCTCAGGGGAAGAGACCTGCCACAGCACCTCAGGTATAAAGATATCCCAGCATTCCCCAGTGTCTTACTGCTCCCAAACATGTCTCAGCAGCGGCTTTAAGAGGGGAAGCAATGACAGCAGCTTGAATGTTGCAATAGAAATGTATATGTTCATGAAAGGTAACAGCACATTTAGACAAACCTGTTTGTATGTTCTCTCAGCAACACACATCATAAAGAAAAACATCCAAGTCAGGCAGAGACGCTCAAGGAAGTTAATCACAGCCAAGACAATGACGGGGGTGATGGTAGGAGCCCCACAAAAGATATTCAAAAGTTCCTTCACTGAAATGGATTGCAGCTGTTCAAGATTCTTTGTATGGAAGAGCCGGTAGAGGAAAGGAAGACATGCTAACCCAATGGTGACAACGTTTCCCAGCATCTGATAGCCTACTCCCTGCTGATAGGCATTAACCTGGAGAATAGGCAAATATCATTAGCACTATACAAGCTACAACTAATTTTTAAAATTACTGTAAGTACAATGTTAAACACCAATAGGGAAAATCCTCGAATTCTAAAACTCGGTTAGGCAACCTGTATGTTTAAGTACATACGTAACCTCCTGCTTCACTAGACATGTTTAAAGAAACAGTATTTGAAGTGGCTGTAAGATAAAGTTCAGCCATTACACACTTCATCTCTCTACTCACTAAACTCGGTACACAGCAAATGAGCAAGATTAAACCAGAAAACATACTAGAAAGAAGTTACAATGAAAAAGTGAAAATCCAAAAGTGTGACATAAAACGATTCCATATTATGACATCACTTCCTCCCCCTTAGAATGACCTGTCCATCCCCCCTTCTCCATAGCCATCTCACCTACCTTGAGTAGGAATCTCACTTCTGAGAAAGGGAAAAGAGTGACCAAAATACAGCAGCAGCCATGAGCCACTAATTTTAATTGCACTCAAAAGCTTCCAGCTCCCTGTCCCTCAGAGCAGGGAATGATGTCAACATGACGTAAGCATCTACTGATGAAAGGCACTATGTAAGAGCTAGGTATTATTTTACTGTTATTCTTAGACCAGGAGTCATACCCTCTGCTTTGAATTCATGTATTTTCTTAAATCCCTCTGCAACTACTAGTTAAGAGTATTTAGGGCCATCTTTAAAAAAAGGTACTTGGACTTGTACTGTTTGCAGATACATCACAATTTAGGGCATTTCTACACTATGTTATGTAAAGCAAATTATGTAAGCCTATGCACTACAGCATTCCTCCTGCTGCTGTAACTTGCTCACTACGCCGACCTAGTAAATCCACCTCAGCAAGATGCTTTAGGCATAGGCTGACGTAGTTTGGGGAATGCACTGTCTGTATAGACATTTACTTGCATCCACCTTTTGTCTGTCAAGGTGTCTGACAGCCAAATCCATGAAATTGACAATGTCAATTTCACTGCTGGTAGGGTTCTTGTTTTGAAATTGAGTAGGGGGAGTTCCAGTTGTGAGCTCCAGCTGTCAGCATGAGAGCCTGGAGTGTGGTTTCCCTGCAGAGCTCCCACCTGGGCTCTCAGCTCCCCACTCTGCAGGGAGCTTGCTTCATGGGGAGTGCAGAGCTGAGAGCCTGGGTGGCAGCTGGGAGCTCTTCCTGGAGCTTAGGTCAGTGCGAGTAATCCTGGTGAGGAGACACCGCTGACAGGAGGGTAGTGTGGACAGGAAAACTAGTAATTTATTGCTGGGGCTGTAAATCAATCTAACATAAGTAGACTTAACTCTGTAGTGTAAATATGCCCTTAGAATGGGGGGAGGGGGAGAGGAATCAATCCTTACTCTGCTCATGATAATCCCGCTGATCTCCAGCACAGACATATCCACCTTCTTGCACTCACTTCCTTCCCAGATCAGGGCACTTACTTTTGCAGATGCAGGGCTCGTATTCTGAAGCCAGAACAAATGGTTCTGGAGAAGAAAATGCAACACTGATACAACATACTGAAAACATTTCTCAACTATCTACAGGAAATGGTTTCAAAATAGGCAGCATTTTTACTGAAAATGTTTGAATACAGTTTTAAATTTCAACATTTAAACTATAAGCTATTCAAGGAAAAACTATCTGCATGTATATCCAACAGCATCTAGCACAAGGCCCTGATCCGGATTGTGGCTCTGAACATAAGAGCGGCCATACTGGGTCATACCAAAGGTGCACCTAGCCCAGTATCCTGTCTGCCGACAGTGGCCAATGCTAGGTGCTCTAGAGGGAATGAACAGAACAGGTAATCAAATGATCCATTCCTTGTTGCCTATTCCCAGCTTCTGGCAAACAGGCTAGGGATACCATCCCTGCCCATCCTGGCTAATAGCCAGTGATGGACCTATCTGAGAATTTATCTAGTTCTTTTTTGAACCCTGTTACAGTCTTGTCCTTCACAACATCCTCTGGCAAAGAGTTCCACAGGTTGACTGGAAGCTGTGTAAAGAAATACTTCCTTTTGTTTTAAGCCTGCTGCCTATTAATTTCATTTGGTGACCCCTAGTTCTTGTGTTATGAGGAGTAAACATCACTTTACTCCACACCAGTCATGATTTTATAGACTTATCATATCCCCCCTTAGTAGTCTCTTTTCCAAGATGAGAATTATTAATTATTAATGACAGGTTTCAGAGTAACAGCCGTGTTAGTCTATATTCGCAAAGAGAAAAGGAGTACTTGTGGCACCTTAGAGACTAACCAATTTATTTGAGCATGAGCTTTCGTGAGCTACAGCTCACTTCATCGGATGGATCCGATGAAGTGAGCTGTAGCTCACGAAAGCTCATGTTCAAATAAATTGGTTAGTCTCTAAGGTGCCACAAGTACTCCTTTTCTCAGTCTTATTAATCTCTCCTCATAGGGATGCTGTTCCATGCCCCTAATCATTTTCTGCCCTTTTCCAATTCCAATCTCTTTTCTGAGATGGGGTGACCAGATTTGCATGCAGTATTCTAGATGTGGGCATACCATGGATTTATATTAGAGGCAATATGGTATTTTCTGTCTTATCGATCCCTTTCTTAATGATTCCTAACGTTGTTTGCTTTTTTGACTGCTGCTGCACATTGAGTGGATGTTTTCAGAAAACTATCCACAATGACTCCAAGATCTTTCTTGAGTGGCAATAGCAAATTTAGACCCCATCATTTTATATGTATAGTTGGGATATTTTCTAATGTGCATTACTTTGCATTTATCAACAGAATTTTTCTGCCGTTTTGTTACCTGGTCACCCAGTTCTGAGAGATCCTTTTAACTCTTCAGTCTGCTTTGGACTTAACTATCTTGTAGTTTTATCTTTAATACCCCTTTTTCCATATCATTTATGAATGTTCAATACTGGTCCCCATACACACTCCTGGGGGACACCACTATTTACCTCTTTCCATTCTGAGAACTGACCCTTTATTCCCACCCCTTGGTTTCCTATCTTTTAACCAGTCAGGGATCCATGAGAGGACCTTCCCTCTTATCTCATGGCAGCTTACTTCACTTAAGAGCCTTTGGTGAGGGACCTTGTCAAAGGCTTTCTGAAAGTCAAAGTACACTATCCTGTCCACATTCTTGTTGATCCCCTCAAAGAATTCTAGTAAATTGGTGAGGCATGATTTCCCTTTACAAATATACTGACACTTTCCCCCAACAAATCATATTAATCTGTGTGTCTTGTCTGAGAATTCTGTTCTTTATGATAGTTTCAAACAATTTGCCTGGTAATAAGGTTAGGTTTACTGCCTGTAATTGCCAGGATCACCTCTGGAGCCAATTTTTAAAAATTGCCATTACATTAGCTATTCTCTAGTCATCTGGTACAGAAGCAGATTTAAATGATATGTTAGAGTAATTCTGCAATTTCATATAGAATTCCTTCAGAACTCTTGGGTGAATACCATCTGGTCCTGGTGACTTATTACTGTTAAATTTATCAATTTGTTCCAAAACCTTCTCTAATGACACCACAATCTGGGACAGTTCCTCAGATTTGTTATCTCCCTCACATCCTCAACCATGAAGACTGATGCAAAGAACATATTTAATTTTTCTCCAACAGCCTTATAGCAGTGGTCACCGACTGGTCAATCATGATTGACTGGTCGATGCCGGAGGATCTCCCAGTCGATTGTGATCTCCAGCTGTGCAGCGAGGCTGCTGCTAAGACTGGCTTCCTGCCTGCCCCAGCCCCATGCCGCTCCTAGAAGTGGCTAGAGCGGCCCTGCAGCACGCTGCTCCTGCCTGTAAGCACCACCCCCTCAACTCCCATTGGCCGGGAATAGGGGGCTGTGGGGGCAGCATGCAGAGCCACATGCTGCCCACCCATCCCTCCCCGGGGCCACAGGTGCGCATTGGCACTTTCCAGGAGTAGAGTTAGGGCCGAGGTAGGCAGGGAGCCTACCTTAGTGGCAGACACATTGCGACACCAACTGGGAGCTGCTAGAGGTAAGTGCTGCCCAGTGGCAGGCTGCAATCCAACTCTGCTGCCCCCTACTGGAGCCAGCACCCTGTACCCCCTCCTGCACCCCAACACTCTGCCAAGCCCAGAGCCCCCTCCTGCACCCAAACTCCCTCCCAGAGCTTGCACCCCAATGCTAAGCCCAGAGCCCCCTCCCACACTGCAAACCCCTCAGCCCCAGCCCAGAGCCCACACCCTCTACCGAACCCCTATCCCAGCCTGGTGAAAGTGAGCAAGGGCGAGGGAGAGCAAGTGACAGAGGGGGATGGAATGAGTGGGGCAGGGCTTTGGGAAAGGGTCAGGGTAGATCCTGGGTTGCCCTTAAATTCAAAAAGTGATCTTGGGCTTAAAAGGTTGTAGACCACTGCCTTATAGTCTGATTACTTCTTTAACATCTCAACCAGTGGGGCCACTGGATGATTTAGCAAGCTTCCTGCACCTGAGGTACTTAGATTTTTGTTGTTACTTTTTTAGTCTCTGGCTAGCTGTTCTTCAGATTCTTTTTTGATGTTCCTAATTATATTTTTACACTTCACTTGCTAGAGTTTATGCTCCATTCTATTTTCCTAAGTAAGATTTTACTTCCATTTTTTAAAGGATGCCTTTTTGCCTCAATTTTTTACTTTATTTTTTCAGCCATGGGGGCACTTTTTTGGTCCTCTTATGTTTTTTAATTTGGGGTACACATTTAAATTGAGCCTCTATTATGGTGTCTTTAAAAAGTTTCCATGCAGCTTGCAGGGATTTCACTTTTGGCACTGTATCTTTTAATTTGTTTAACTTCATTTTTCTGTAGTTCCCCTTCCTGAAACTAAATGCTACCGTGGTGTCCCCTCCCCGGAATGTTAAATTTATAGTCACATTTATAGTTAAATTTATACCAAGCGGTTCAGCTATATTCACCTCTTGGAACAGATCCTGTGCTCCACTTAGGACTAAATCAAGAATTGCCTCTCCTCTTGTAGGTTCCAGGACTAGCTGCTCGAAGAAGCTGTCATTTAAGGTGTCAAGAAACTTTATCTCTGCATCCCATCCTGAGGTAACATGTACCCAGTCAATATGGGGGTACTTGAAAGCCCTCATTATTATTTTTGTGGCCTCTATCTCCCTCAGCATTTCACAGTCACTCTGGCTGCTATTACTACTAATAAAGGGATATTACAGGCACTGAAGACTGAAATGCTAGATCCAAAGAGTGATAAGCTATGATTAGTGCATATGCACTCCCCTGAACTAGGAGAATATAAATAGTATCTTCCCACTTAAGTTTTAGAGGCTATGTTGATGCTTTCGTAGCAAGCATTGCTGGGATCCTGAATTTCCACACTATTTCCATCGGGATAGTTTTGCTACATAGAATCAGCGTTCAAGTCTATATGCCAGAGCATTCCTGCATCCTGTCCAATGCAGCCATCATTTATTTTTACGTTCATATTTAACTAAGACAGCCAACCAGAGTCTAGGTACTGATGGTAACTTTTTATAAATCCTAAGCAAGATAATTATCTATGCTCATCATTGAATTTTACAGAAATGTCCATCTGCTAAACTGTGTCCATCCTCAGAGGAAACAGACACTAGGCCATGGCTTTTTTATTCCTTTTGACCTGGCAAAGGAAACTTCTAGCAAGGTGTTTGCACAAGTTACAACTACAGAATTTACCTCCTGTGTTATTTTAGAGGGTACAAGCTACATCAAAAGAAAAATATTTCATAGGCTCCTCTTTTATTGCAAGTGGTTGAACAGACCTGTTGGAAAACATCCTCTTTCAGGTCCCGTTTACTTCCTTTTACATTCCCTTCCTCGCTGTCACTGGTGTAGGAAGAACGGCACTCAGGCCCATGAAGCAGGTCATCCCAGAGCATGTCCTCTGTCTCAGAGTCATGGCGGCTGCTTTCAGAATCTCTCCGAGACACACTGCAGCTCTGGGACCCACCGCTAAAACAAGACCTTGATTCCTTTAAAGGAAAAGGAGAAGTTACTTTTGTAAACTTCCATACGAAGCCTTCAACTACAGAAATCAGCTTTTAATCTTCAAGTAATATGTTCTCAAGCCACGCTGACAAGCTAGAACAGAAAGGGCATTTCTACACAGGGATGCTTTTGCAACATGAACTTACAGCAACAAACTATTAATGTTTTCCCACCTTCAGAATAACATGCTAATTTCATGAAAACTCTGAAGGCCAGGAAAATGGAACCAGAATTTAGAACACATTTTAGTCCTCATTGTGGGACAGAGTTTAGTGAGAATTTATACAGCTGGAGAGGAGACTTATTTCTTGATTTCTATGAAAAATAAAATTTTTAGAATGATGCCTGATGTTTACTCCAGTACAATGTTATCCTCCCAACAGCCAAGTCTCTAATGAATAGTGATTAGAGGCCTCTGAGCATGCTGCTGCTGCCAGTAGAATTTCATAAACTGAATGAAAAGTCCAAAATTCAAAGCACTGAAAAGGTACAAAAATTGCAATTTTTAAAATGGTGTCAGTTACAAAGCTCGTTAAAAAAATCAACTCTTACCTGGAGAACACAATCTTCATCTAAATTCTTCCCTGCTTTACAACCTGGAAATACTATAATCCCAAATACACAGTTGAGGGCCATGGAGTCTGCCTGGTGGTAATTCCGAATGGTTATTGGCCAGTTGTCTAAAACACATTTAGCCTGTCTCCCTTGGTACTGCAGCAACCACTATGCCTTTCAGACTATGCAGCCAGTAGACAATGGGGTCAAATGAAAGCACTTCACATTGGAAACTAATCTCACACACTTGTTTTGTGCTGTAGTCTATTATGATCCACAAGCAGGGAGTATTGTGTCATATATGAATGCTCACAATTTAGTTTTTTGCAGATCTGACCATAAGACAGGGCTGTATAAAAGTATCAACAGGGGAATAACGAGTGGAAAACCAAGATAGCATTGAGTGTGACAGCCCAGGATTCCTAGAAGACTGCTTAAAGCTCTGAAATGAAGACTGATCGACAGCTTCGCTCCTCTGGAACTGTGAACAATAAGTTAAGTCTGTCTGTGGAACACAGAACCTTCTCAGAAGCTGGTCCAAGACTGTGAAACTAACTCCGCAAGGAGCTAAGGACCATCACAAACCTCTCCACTTTCTGTTCCAAGTGCAACACATAGCAACAGGTATATTTAACAAAACAAACTATCAAAATAAGACATCACTGCACACACTTATCCCTCTGGGCAGAGGGAGAGAGAACAAGTGATGTGTAGTCACATGCTCAATGCACTACTGGAAGTCATTCAGATACTACAGTGATGAGCACTGTATAAAAACCTGAATAGAACAGATGTACCACTCTGCCCACCTTAAATTATGCAAAGGTCTCTGGTATTTTATAACGCCTACCTGACTAAAGGCTGTTGAGTCTAGTTCGGATTCTACCACACTATCGGACTCTCTGGTACCTTTAATGGCTTGATTGACCTGTCATAAATAAAAAAGGAAAAGTTAGTTGACAGCCAGTAACAGTAAACTTTGTGGAATCTTAAGGTAACCCAACAGAGCTACCTCTGAAACCGACTGGTTTGAAGTAGTTAGAGGTTTCCTATTCTTGTCTTCATAGCTATTGTCACTGGAGGCCCCTTCTACACTTCTGCGTAACAAAATCCTCTGCGCCATGGCTTCAGCATCCTCCTCACTTGACAGCTCATCAGAAACGCCACCCGTATGTGTGCAGCCATCCTGGAAGAAAAGCAGCCATCTAAACAAACTAGAAGATGGGCTAATAAAACTAAGCAGATCTGCATCAAGCGGAGTATCTGGCCAGTATTACCATTGCAATGTTGTGGTTACCAACAGTGTGAATTCTAGTCTAACACCTTAGCCAATGAGAGAGAAATTACATCTACAAGTACAAGCAGAATGAGGAGTCAAAGAATCACACAAGTTCTGCAACTGATGGGCCAGGCCTGTCTCATTGCAGCAGTTGAAAGAGGGGGAGAAACATCCAACCTCTCCAGCAACTAAAACAGAAAAGGAGATAATTCAATTCCTGGTCTCCTCCCCCTTCATTTCCATAGCCTGATGCCTCAAAGGCCAGCAACATCCACAAGTCTGTGTGTAACCCTGGGCATAAGACGTGACTGTTGTCATGAAAGCTGTGCCCCCATCAACCAAGTCTATTCCCTCCCCGAATGCCTCCATGTATTAGAGACTTTGGGAGCAATGCTGTTTCCTTCACATGTTCTTGTCTAAGTGACTCACCAATCCCAAAGCCCTTCACTTTAGTGCTTACATAGATAAAACAAGACTTTGGTTTTTAAAGTCACATACAAAAATTCCATCAGGTGAATCTGAATCATCTCCCAACAGAAGGGCAATGCACTGAATTGTTTGCAGGGCAGATGTTTTACATGGTAGAATTTTGAATTCCATTCACTTTTAAATCAGCAATGGATTTCCATAATCACACCATCCAAATAAACAAGCATTTTCAGTATAAGGAGGCCTCCTTTATTCTTCCCACAGGTTTCCATATTTACCATATTTGTGTTTTATTGTAAGTTAAAATGGAGTTTATATTTACATCTGACATTAAGGTGCCAGCACCAAGTCAGTCATGACTGAAGAATCAATGCAGAAAGGACTCAATCTTACCCGATGACTCTTCTCCCCATCTGAAAGTCTGTCTCTCTCTTTGAAATGCAGCAGCCTATATTCGGATCTGGAAAGTCTGTGCTTAATGCCACTATACACAGAGCTCACACCACTTTCTGTTTCAGTCCCTTTATCAGCTACCAATTTCACCCTCCTTAACCTGGGGAATCAAAACGCAACAGAATGGTCTGACTTCAGAGCAAAGCTCTTGAAAGGATAATGTCAACTTACTCTGTCACTTGCCTGCCTGGTGCAGCATTAAGCAATAGCTGAGAGGCTACAGAATTCTCAATTTCAGGCACTTCACAGCCCTGTCTCAGAGGGAACAAACCTACTCCATTGTCGAATGCCAGCTCCCAAGTTTCCTACAGATTCTAAATCCAGGGGGAAGGCAGCATTCAGGAGTAATTAAGTAAAAAAAGTAGTTAAAGGAGAAACTAGGTACCTTTTTAAATAGTAACAAAAGCTGACAGCTTAGATCAGAGGTTAACAATCAGAAGAGTAAGTTTCCAGATAAAAAACAAAAACTCAGCTGGGAGTGGGGATACGAGGGATGAACCCAAATAGTGCATCTTCCTTTTCCCTGATTTTCATTATGTCTTCAAAAATACTTTAAAAAATTATCTGATCAGGTTAAACAAAGGGTAAATTGACTTAACTGAGCAAGGCAAGGTAACTAAATATGGGACCTAAGGGGAAGTGGAGTACCTACGCTTAGGAGGGTCACTCACACCAGCTGGAGAGAGCCTCTAACACTGCACAATTGTGTTTCTAAAATAGGCTACCAAAAATGATCCCCTATCCAGAATAAGGACAAATATACGGACTCCTAAGACGACAGACTTCCTCCGGTGGCAGTGTTCCTTGGGTTTCATTTAAGAGCAGCTGTAACTTGTGCAGCTTTGGAATGTGTGACTTCATAAGCGTTCTGTCTGTTTTCTGAATGTTCAACTGTTCGTACACTACCATTACAAACACACACACCCTCCTGGTGCAGCATACACACCTCCTACGGAAGAGCAGGCCAAACAAACTGTTGATAATGGATATAGGTTCCAAATGTTTATCTCCTTTATTGGCTTTGTCAGAGGAAGACCAGCTGCCAGCATCTCTGCTCCCATCACCACCCATAGGTTTGCGGAATTTTCTATTTAAAAAACAGAGTGTGGAGAGAATTTAATTTGCAACAAAGCATCTTTATACCCTAAAAAACACGTACCAAATCCATACACCACTCTAGCTGCTCTGTCAAATGAGTCATGCAGAGACTGGGGTCAATCCCCCTCAATATGCACAGGTAATTTTTACTAGCATCAGCTGGAATTATGCTTATGTCCCCAGGGGGAGAATACACACTAGTACCACAAAGGATTTAAGTGGAAAATTATACAAGATAAACATATGGAAAAACAGTCTCTGTGGAAATGTCATAAGGGTAGTAGTTACAGCCTCTCTCTCAGCAAGAAGGCTGCACTGAGACTGACATTGGGCCGTTTTAAATTAAATAAAAAGAGCTGCAATGTCTCCATACAAAATAAGGGCAAGAAACATCCCTCAGAGGCACGTCATCCTTTGCCCCCTCTGAAGGTGTGTGAGAAACCACTCCCTTAATGCAAGTGTAAAACACTGGTCAAGCTCCCAAGGCCATAAGCGTGATGTCATTTGTGGAGCACACACCACTGGCCACAGAAAGAAACTGGACCATCTAGGTTTCATTAGAAGAACAGTCCAACTGCAAAGCATAGAATAAAGGGGATGTAACATGGCCGGACTTCCTGACAGAGTGATAGCACTTATGAAAGCTGTGAAAGGGGAAAAGAAGGTGGGCTATCCACAATCAAGCATATGGTACATATCATATCCCTGCATTTTACAGTCACATAAGATGTTTACTTAAAACAGCAGCAAACGAGACCTTTATCCAGTAAGGTAGTGGTTCCCAATCGGAGGTTCGTGAACCCCTGCGGGTTCGCAAAGTGTTAGGGGGTTCTCGGGAAAAAATTCCCGAATGGCAGACAAAGCTGTCCCTAGGGACCCCAGGTAGCACGGGGCCAGCAGCCTGGAGCCCCTGGACTTCCAAGAGCTAAGCAGATCAAAGCAAGCATATCTATCACACTGAGGAGATTTAAACTTCAAGACTCCTTATAAGAAATGGAAAGGGAGGTCAATTTTTTTTGCTGTTTTTAAAATGAAATAGGCAGCTAGTATTATTTTTAAAATTATTATGAAGAACAAGTTTAAGCTTCGTTGTAAAATGCATTGTTTGCCTGGACTGCTCAAGACCTGAATGCTTGTGTAGGAGGAACGTGTAAAGGAGAAAATCCCAGGAAATATTCATTTTTAGAAGGGGGTTCGTGAGACTTGACATTTTAGTGAAAGGGGTTCACTGGTTGTTAAAAGTTTGGGAACCACTGCAGTAAGATAATGTATCATATTACCCTGATTCCTACAAATGCACACAATTAGTGCGATGTTTCATCTCACCTCCTCCTCCTGCTGCTGCCGCCTCCATTGGTTCCTGGGGGTTTGTTGATCTGGGTGGACACAATCTGACAGTGAACAGTTCCCATCAGTAGCATAAGGCACATTGGTCCAATGATTTCACTTGCACTTGCAACAGGTATCATGAAATACAACATGACAGCTATAACTGAAAAGGAAAAATTGGATCAAATGCAAAAGCTACACTGGGAATTTCCTACCTAAGGGTAAAAGGGGCATGTCTCAGTTTTATTATTGTCCCAATGATTAATTTTGTTCACTTTAAAAGCTTTTGCAGATATTAACTCCACCCTCATCTTGTTATGTGGCCCTTGTACTACTTCTCTGAAATTCCTTCTTTCTTTGCAATGTGATTTGTAAGTATATTAAAACAAAACAGAACCACAAAAAGGATCAAAAGTGTGTGTCAAAAATTACTTTCCTCTGCCAGAATGTGGTCTATGAAAGCCATTTACAATCTTCAGAGGATGCAGTTCCAGCTCACTTCAAGAAATGACTATTACAGAAGCTGGACTGATACAAAGGGGAGTTGCACGTCAGGATATACAGTACCTTCACTAACTAGGTTCTTTGGCAAAGAAGGGTGGAGTAGGCAATTTCTCCACAGAACAGATCTAGCATGTGCGGTGGCAAAGCAGGTTTCCCCCACCCTGTGGCCTCATTTCTAGCCTGGAAGATCATCTCAAAAGGAGGCAAGGGGAGACCAATCCCAGCATGAAGGACCAGATGTCAAATATTCCTGGAACTGCATGGAAAAAATCCACAGGGACCAGGACAACAGTAAAAGGCTGCTTAAATTCAGATGTTTTAAGGCCAAAAGGGACCATTATGATCATCTAATCTCCTGGGTTTAACAGGCCAGAGAATTTCACCCAGTGATTCCTGCATCAAACCCACACCTTCTGGTTGAGCTAGAACAGGGCTTCTCACACTGGGGGTTGGGACAGGGGGGGTCACGAGGTTATTACATGGGGAGGTCACAAGCTGTCAGCCTCCACCCCAAATCCTCCTTTGCCTCCAGAATTTATAATTGTGTTGAATATATTTTAAAGCGCTTTTAATTTATAAGGCTGGGGTCACTCAGGCTTGCTATCTGAAAGGTGTCACCAATACTAAAGTTTGAGAACCACTAAGCTAGAACGTATCTTTTAGTACAAACTAAAGTTGCCTGAACTATGGTGCCCTCAGCAGCTTCAACAGAATGTATTGGAAATGCTAATCCCTTCTTACCTAGATGCCTATACAATGCTGCCCTTCCCTTCCTTCCCCCACCCCACACACAAGAGAACTTCCCTATCTGTAAAATGGGGCTAAATTCATTAACGCATGTGAACCGAAGCACAGACTGAAGAGGTCTTCCAGGGGGTACATCAACTCATCTAGATATTTGCCTAGTTTTACAACAGACTACATAAAAAGCACTAGGTAAATCACTACAAACTAAAATTTCATACAGATGACTTGTTTATCCTGCTCTATGTACCATACATAGAAAAGTACAGTATTTATATTCTAATTGATTTATTTCATAAGTATATCGTAAAAGTGAGCAATTTTTCAGTAATGTGCTGTAACATTTATGTATGTCTGATTTGGTAAGTAGTTTAAGTGAGGTGAAACTTGGGGTACACAAGACAAATCAGCCTCCTGAAAGGGGTACAGTAGTCTGGAAAGGTGGAGAGCCACTGGATTAAATGACTTGTCCAAGGTTACACAGGAAGTACTGGACAGGAATTTAACCCAGATCTCTCTCAATTATATGAGCCCTGGTAAACTGCTTCAATCACAAGACCATCCTTCCTCCCTTTTGCTGAATCAATGTAAGTCATTTAAGCACCCTTATGGTAGGTCAGAAGGTGGAACCCAAGAAGCATGCTGCATGGAAAGCTGTGCAGTGTCTGCAGATAATGCTCAAACACTTCAGAGTTGCCTCCTTACCATTGCAAATGGCATTAGTGAACAAGAAGAATATCATGTTTTTTATAACCACAAATAAAAGATTATGGCACAGCACCCTCCAATGCTTACCTTGCATGAGGTAAAGCACCAAAAGCCACATAAAAATACGCTGGGATGTAACCTGTATCCACCAACGGCTGAATAATGGAAAAAACACAACCCGCACAATCCCCTTTCTAGTTAGTGACGTCCACGGGATTTCAGGCTTGGCTTTGGCAAATGTGGAGCCTTGAAAATAAATAGGTACTTCAAATGGGAGTTATAGCTAATGCTTTACTTGTAACTAAGGCTAAGGTTTTGTAACAGAGGTCATGGAAATCACAGAATCCATGACTTCTAGAGACCTCCCTGACATTTTTCCTTCAGCCCTGAGGCAGCAGGGATGGAGCTGTCAGCCAGCAGAGGCTCTCCTGCAACTCCCAGCTGCTATTGTGGGAGGACCCCACAGCTCCCAGCCACCAAGTGCAGACCCCACAGCTCCAAGTTGCTGCCAGCTGCAGGGGAAACCCTGCACTCTCAGCCACCACTGGAGCCCCAGCAGCAGTGGGTGCTGGACCCACCTCCCTCCCCATTTTGTCCCCAAAAATCAGGGACAGGTCACAGGCTTCCATGAATTTTTGGTTATTGCCCATGACTTTCATTAAGTATAACTGATAAAATCTTAGCCTTACTTATAAACTTCTTCCCTAGTCAAGGCCAAACTCCCTCTAAAATGCAGTATAATTTGAAAAGGGAAAAAACTGAAATGTCAGCCACTCACCAGTTCCTTCAATCCAAAATCATATGAGCCCCTTCTCCTCCTCTTAGCCCACTTGCCCATTCCCAACTACCTATTTTACGTAAGCTGTCATCCACAACGCAAACCCACAATGACCACCCTTCACCACCACCCCCCCAAAGACATTCTCTACAACCTCAGCCCTTAGCTGATCATGCTGTGGTTCCAGCAAGCCTCCAGTCCCTCTGCCAGGTGTCACACTCTGGGCCTTCTGGGTCCCCTAATGCTAACTTCTAGCACTGCTGACTCATGATCTAAATAGCTCCCCTTTCAGAAACCAAACAATAGTATTAAATTATGTCAGATCTAGGTAAAAGGTAAGACATTCCTCCTCCCACCATTGCATAAAGCAGAAGTGTATGTCACATTTAACCTGGGGGCATTTGATACAACCTCTATTATTCAAAGGATACCTACCTCTGATTAAGTCAACATCTATCAGGTCAGGCTGTATGTGGCCCTTTTTTTTGGGTTTGTTTTTGAAGCCCTGCAAATTTAAAAACAAAGGATTAATTTTTGTTGTGAATATGAAAGACTGTCTGCATTTCCTTTATTCTGATCTCTCCAGAAACCATGATGATCTCCAGTGCTAACATCAGGAACCTCATTCAGTACTCCTAGTGCTCTTCTGGAGACAAGTTTATTAGTCAAAGATCCTAGTTATATTTGTTTATTTTAGCTCTTACTTAATATTTATTTTGAAACAAGAGCTGCGCCCTGCAGGAACCACAGTTAGAGCCACTATTTCCATTTACTGGGGGTAAACAGGAAAGAGGCCAGTGCACCTGTGATTGGTCAGCTGACTCCCAGTTAATCTTAAAAGAGGACACCTGAGCCCTAGAAAGGAGATAGGACAAGCCAGATACAGGAAGCATGGGTAAGAGCTGCCTGAGACTCAGAGACCAGAGCAGCACGGAAGAGCTGGCAGAAGTTGCTTGAGAGAGCTTCAGGAGACCCAGTGGAGAGACCTGAGCTCAGATGGGAGCTGTAACAGGATTACTGGTAAAGAATTACCAAAGCTGGAAACCCCTAACAAATGGAAGGCTTGGGCAGTGACCTCTTGGAAAGATCCAAATTCACTTGCAGGAGGGCAGATTGGCAATGACATCACTTGTTAAAGGGTATAAAAAATAAACTAAGTGTTCATTGCTAATACCTGCCTGACCAAGTTGGAGCTGACCAATATGGGTCTAAGCAGCCCTGGGTTTAGCCAGTTTGTAAGTATCTTGATCAAACGCTTATAAATGTTTTGTTACTGTTTGGATGTAACAAATTGCTTATTTATTAGGCATATTTAGAGAAACAGGATACATTCCATTCAGCTTTTGGATTTAATAAAGGAATTTGTTAAATTAGAGCCGTGGTAGTAGCCTGCATAGACACCAACACTTGCCACTAGTCATTGAGTAATATCTGAAAACAGACTCTCAGTTCTTCAGGGCAGGGACTAGGTCTTTTCATTTGTTCTATAAAATACCTAGCACTTTTGGTAGTGTATAAAATAACATTCAGATGGATTTTTCTCAAAGACAAACTACTGTACCCTAAGTACACCTAGGGCCTGCAGCGCCTTTCATTGCTGGTCTTCTGGGATTTGCATGAAGCAGAACTGGTGCAGCCACATCACAGGGAGCCAATAAATGGCACGGGACAAAGAGCAAATTAAAGGACAACTTAAATGAAAAAGTTACCTTCATCTCAGTCTGCTCTATAGACTTCTCCCATATCTGTTGGTCATAGGCTCCAATCTGGAAAAAAATTCACATCACAACCCTTTAATTTACAACAAACCAAAACAGGGTTGATAAAATTTGATTTAACAACCTGATTTTTTTAAATTTAATACAGGTAAACTTAAAGTTAAATTTGAAATGACAACCTATGTTAAGACCTAAAATTACCAGTCTATTAAAGTGACAAATATAAAAATATTTAGTACATATTTCCTTCCACATTTTTTAAAAAGTCACTACTGAACTGCTGAAAATCACTGGCTAACCGGTCCAAGTGCTAAACCAGCTTTTGACAGCAGCAGGCTCTTCTGCAGGCAGATAGATTTTCTTCATTTCAGTTCTAGTTCAAGTTCAGTTTAATGACTTGACTAATTCATTTGAAATTAAGAAACCAGCTGGGAATTGAAAAAGCAGGAAAGCTTGTTTTCTTAGGTGTGAGAGAAGAAGATACACTAGTTATAAAATCCTGAACTACAATCAGTTCAAATACTTTAACTCAACTAGTTATAAATTCAAAATCTATTTTGATTAAAAGAATTAGTACCCAACAAATTAGTTTTGTTTAACTAAAAACAATTTAAATGTTTTGTGCATGAACAATTTCTGATCAAATAGAGCTTGTCACTAATCACAATTCAAAATAAATCTGGTAAACAAGTAAATGAGGTAAACTATATAACAGCTTAAATGAACATGTATAGATGTAGCCTAGCCTCCTGGCTTGCAAAGAGAAGCACCAAATGTAGCATATGTAACTTTATTTCTATTTAATGGTTATATTTAGTTGCAAGTAAACATTGTAATGCTTACAAATTAGAGCATACCTTTCCTAAAGAAAGGTAAAGAATTACAAAACAATTAAAATAAATTACTGAAAAATCAAGACTTCCTTCTTAAATTAAATGATTAAAATAATTCACTAGTTTAAATCAAAACAATTTCAATCAACCCTGCCCAAAAAACCGCAAAGAAAAGATTAGAGACCATTATACATTAAAGCAGGGGTTCCCAAACTGGGGGTTGGGACCCCTCAGGGAGTCACCAGGTTATTACACGGGGAGGTCAGAAGCGGTCAGCCTCCACCCCAAACCCTGCTTTGCCTCCAGCATTTATAAGGGTGTTAAATATATTAATGCTTTTAATTAGCAAGCCTCTGAATGCGACCCCCCCTTACTATGTGAAAGTGGGCACCAGTACAAAAGCTTGAGAACCACTGCATTGATGTATGTATTTTGTAGCTCAAATATCACTTTTAAATAACTTAAAACAAAATGTCATTGTGCACAGTGTAAAATTTAAAAAACAATGCTGCAAACGCAGTATTTTTTTCAAGATATCTGGGAGGTGGAAACATTAAACAAAACAAGCATGCCTTGTGCTATTATAAACAAACATTAATAGTCAGGTTTCAGAGGAACAGCCGTGTTAGTCTGTATTTGCAAAAAGAAAAGGAGTACTTGTGGCACCTTAGAGACTAACCAATTTATTTGAGCATGAGCTTTCGTGAGCTCCACCGAATCCATCTGATGAAGTGAGCTGTAGCTCACGAAAGCTCATGCTCAAATAAATTGATTAATAGTCACAACCACCACAGGGAGACAGGTGTCCCCCATCCCCCGTTTACGGGCTGAGACAATGAGACAAAGGGAGGGCCGGTGATTTGGCCAAGCTCCCTCTCCTAGCAAAGCTGGGGCAGAGACGGACGCTCTCGCTCAGCACCAGGAAGAGCAAAGGGGGGGTTGCAAACTGCAGGGCTGCCAGACGGGCGCTCTTCGCCCTACGACTGACCTTCTTTTGGTACCAGGCGATGGCATCTCTGCCACGTGCGGCCATGTGGCTCCCCGGCCCGCGCCCAACGAGTGACCTAGAAGGGAACAAGGCAGCGCGCTGCCTCACACACGCCGGGTCCCGACGCGCGGAGAGGAACTGGCCGGGCGGGCCGGGACGCGGCTGCACCCGGCGCCGGAGCCATCTCCGAGGCGGGCAGAGCCCAGCTCCGAGGCCGCGCCCAGCGGCCTCCCGCCCCGCGGGACAGAGCCGTGCGCCCGAGGGGTGGGAATGACCTTTGCTCCCCGCCCCGCCCTCGCCCGCCCCCCTCCACCCCCTCGCCCTCCCACGCCCCCCCCGCCCCCACCCCCTCGCCCTCCCACGCCCCCCGCCCGCTCCGCTCGCCCCGCCCAACCCCCTCGCCCTCCCACGCCCCCCGCCCGCTCCGCTCCGCTCGCCCCACCCCCTCGCCCTCCCACGCCCCCCGCCCGCTCCGCTCGCCCCACCCCCTCGCCCTCCCACGCCCCCCGCCCGCTCCGCTCGCCCAACCCCCGCCCCACCCCCTCGCCCTCCCACGCCCCCCGCCCGCTCCGCTCGCCCAACCCCCGCCCCACCCCCTCGCCCTCCCACGCCCCCCGCCCGCTCCGCTCGCCCAACCCCCGCCCCACCCCCTCGCCCTCCCACGCCCCCCGCCCGCTCCGCTCGCCCAACCCCCGCCAACCGCTCGCCCGCCACAACCGCTCGCCCCCCCGCCGCCCCCCCGGCCAACCGCTCGCCCCCCCCGCCCCCCCCAGCCCCCCGCTCCTGCCCCTCCCATCTCTTCCCAGCCCCGCCTCTCAAGGGCAGGTCCGGCTCCAGTCTGCCCCCCTCGCGGCCCCCCTCACCCCCAGCCCAGCTCCGGCCTCGCCCCACGCGCAGCCCGGCGCCCTCCCGCTGCGGCTGAACGTCACCATGGAGACGGCAGCCTGCGGAGCGAGGCGAGGGACAGCGCGCGAGCCCGGATTGGGAAAACGGCTCTCGACTGGCTCTGCCTGGCTCCCCCACGGCCCGCAGCGGCCGTCGAGCCGAGTCACCGAACGCGCTCGGCCGCAGGCAGCGCCAGCCGAACGCCGACCCAGGCTGTCTCCCCAGAGCGCCGCCGGCGCCTGGCCCGACTCACCTGCGTGGCGGGCGGGGCGGCCGCAGCCCCCAGCACCATCGCCCCGGGGCCGCAGTGCCTCAGCCCCGCCCACCGCGAGGGGCCGGCGGCCGTTATTCCTTCAGGCCGGGCGGGGCGGGGCCTCGAGCGGGCCCCCGCGCCGCTACTTATGTCCCGGCCGGCGCTGCGCGCCCCGCCCCCGAGCACGTGCCCGGCGTGCGGGCAGCGCCCCCCCGGCCCCCCCCGCTGGGCCCGTCACCTGGGCGCGCGCGCACGCGCCGGGGCGCTGAGAACAGCTGACCAGTGGGAGCCGGGACCGCGCCCGGCCCCGCCGATCCCCTGCGCCGCCCGCCGGCTCCAGCTCGGCCCCCCGTGGGCGTGGCCATGTCCCTGCTTCTCCGCAGGCCGCAAGCCGTGCAGTGAGTGTAGGACACTGTGCCCTCCAGCCAGCGCAGTGCACGCTGCCGGAGTCAGGGTCAGAGGCGGATTAGGGGTGTGGGGGGCCCTGGGCCAGAGCAAGGGGGGGCCCCTCCCCACCCCTTAAGCCTGCAGGCCCATCCCCCCCATCCGGTGCTCCGGCACCCCCCACAGCAGGAGCACCCGTCGAGGGTCCCCCCGATTGCCTTGGCCCCGTGGGCCCAGTGATTAATCCGCGCCTGGAGAGGATTTTCCCGGAGGGCGAGCCCTGGTTCCGAACCAGGGCCGCAGGCCGCAGGCCGCGGTACACAGAGGCGGGTACAGTGCCCCCCTCAAGAGTAGCAAACGGAAAAACATGCCTCAGCTATAAGCTTTTTACTTCTGATTTCCTCCAGAGCTTTTGTTTTATGTTGTGTAAGGCACTGAGTTGAACAGGAAGATGAGCCTTCGTGGTAGCAAAAATTGTTCCGAAATGGCAAGCAACTTATACCACACTACTCCTACAAAAAGTGATTAAAGATCAGATCTAAATTGGGCACAGGTAGGTGTTGTATAAGCTGGACCTTGCATATACAGTAGCTCAGTAATTAAAACAAAAGGATCATATAGCAAAGCTGCCAAAGAAAGGAGACCTCAGTCAATGTAAAACCTGGAGGGGCATTCAGTTGCTGTCTAGCCCACGTAAAGTATTTACACATATTCTAAACAGAATAAAGAAAGGGGTAGATTCAAGGTTATGACAAGAACAGGCAAGGTTCAGATGGGAGAAATCATGTATAGATCAAATAGCAACCTTATGTATCACCATAGAACTGTCAATCAAAGGGCAGTCACTACTTTATTGGAATGTTACAGATTTCCAAAAAGTGGTTGATACAGTGGATAGAAGTTTTATGGAAGTTGCTATGCCACTGTGTGATCCCTCAGAAATTTGTGACCATCATTCAGAACTTCTATGAAAATATGACATGCCTAGTAATACATAACAGCAAACTGACTAAGCCAGGGATTCTCAAACTTCATAGCACTGCGACTCCCTTCTGACAAAAAAAAATTACATGACCCCAGAAGAGGGGACTGAAGCCTGAACCCCACTGCCTGGGGGCGGAGGGCAAAGCCAAAGCCCAAAGGCTTCAGCCCCAGGCAGGGGGCCTGTTACCTGAGCCCTGTCGCCCAGGGTTGGAGCCCTTGGGCTTCAGCCCCAGGAGGTAGAGCTCAGGCTTTGGCTCTGGGCCCCAGCAACTCTAAGCCAGCCCTGGTGACCCCATTAAAATGGGGTGGCGACCCACTTTGGGGTCCCGACCCACTTTGGGAACTGCTTGGCTAAGCCATTTGAGGTTACTATAGCCATTAGCCAAAGTGTTCCATCTCCAGAAATAGCTCGATCTTCTTGTCTGGATCTCAGACGCTTTACATAGTTTACAAGCACGGTCAAAATGCTGTATGGTTGTAAAAGTAAGCATCCCATTTTCAGCCAAGATTTTGCTAATTAAGAAAATACAAGTGTTATAGAAACCATGAAATACAAAAATAGTCTTTAGATAGGTTTAAAAAATCCTCAAAAGATAGCAGCCAAAAATGTAGGACAAACTAGATTCTAGAATTTTTATACCTACTTTTAGTTAGCATTTGTTATATACGATGTGTATTGTTTAAACTTGTACATATGCCAGAAACCCTTTAAAAACATTCAAAATTCCCCTTCATTAAATTAGTTTAATCACTTGTGTTTTCATATAGGTACAGTTCTATCAGCTAATGTCAATTTCTCACTTTCCTCCTCCATCATTCTAACAGTTTAGCACTCTGAAAAGTAGTTTGGGGATAAAACTTAATTCAGTCAAGTCACTAAGGTTTGTTTTTTTTAAATGCTGCATAAGGTGAACTTAACTTTCTCCAAACAGCAGAGAGAGAGTTATTAGCATGAACATGCTCTTTCAAGTAATTTAGATCCAATAGGGACAGATTTTCTGAGGGGGGGAAAAAAGAGAAACACTGGTTTGTTAAATTTTTAGGAGGATGTTCACTGTGAAGTTCAAGTCATTACTTGTCATTTCAGCAGCTTAACCCTGAACAATATTGTATTTTTAATTATGACCTTCAGTTTAATAGTGCATAGCTTTTTCATGCCTTTTTCAGTGTTTTTAAGCTACTGGTCTAGCATTGCCTGTCACTTATAGCTCTCAGTGTTTGTAACTCCAGCAAAAAATGGCTACTCTGATAAAAGTCCAAGAATCTTGGGCAAACCATACTTATTTGAATTTAACTGCCAGTCACCGTATTTGCAAAATACATTTTCAGCATGTCAAACGATCCACAAGCAGCTCTCAGGAGGAAACTATTCTCTATTTAAAGTCTATAGAACAATTTGGGATCTACACATTGCCTGAAAAAAGTAATTCTGATCAATCCAATAGCTTAAATAACATTGCACAACCATCAAAACTATTGCTGCTCTCCTTTCCAAAGGCATGCACACCTGAAACTATGCTATCTCATGAATAGTTTACTGGTCCAGATGAGATTCTGTGGTGTGCCAACAACGGAAACAGTGCTCTAAGTTTGCATGCTTTCGCATGAAAGTTAGAGGACAAACTATGATAAACGTAAGTTACGCTATGCTGCTTTGCCACATACAAATAACACCATGAGTGAAAAGCCACTATTTCACAGAACAAAGTGGAGACAGTGTTCTACAAGTTTTACCTGCTGTTGTGGTGGCCAGTCAGTTCCCTGTAGGTAAACTATAGATCAGCAGCAGTCCTGCATGTGCAGATGCAGCAGAGAATTTCCTCCACTTTGAAATACTGACTCAGTATCAATTCAGATTTTTGCAGTACACCTTTACTAACGTTAAGTAAGATATCCAGGGATGCACAGGGACTCCTGCAGGGAGAGAACTACTGTTATACAGTGTTCAAACTGGGATAATCCATTGTAGGGCTGTTTGCGATTTAACAAACTTTTAAAAACATGCCATTTGGTACAGTTGGGTGCATTCTAAAGCCAGAAATTGTCTCCAGAATACTTTGAAAGAGCAAGAGATCATCAACATCATCAACATCCCTGGCAGGGATGGTGTGTGGTATCTGGAGACAGGATAGGGAATTGTAGCAGAGGCCTCATAACTTAAAAATCAAACCTTGCAAAGGTTTTAGTTCCATTAGAGCTGTTGGCCACCTTTCCCCCACTGCCATTATATGCAACACATAGCAAGAATAGTTTCTCTTTCTCCCCTCCTAGATAGAAGGTCCAGTGATTGCAGGCTTTAGTTTTCTCCCTTTTCATTAGGATATGAAATTAAACATTTTATAATAGTTGCTAACTCTGTCTGCTTTGAAGTAGCTTAGATTTTGTTTTTCTGGACTACTAAGAGATTGTAACAACCCCATTCTGAGAGTATGATGTTACACACACCCAGCATTTAGCAGACATTACTAGAAAGATCCCCCTAAATTTCTTCTGTCCTTACGTAAGTTGTCTAACTGGAACATACACCTGATGGGGCCATTTCCCCATTCCCATCCACAAGCTACCACATTTTCCTGCTTTTAAAAGCCAATTCTCAGGGTTCTTAGTTTACCTGTACTTGCAGCATGCTTCAAAGTGATCCCAGTGCAACGCTAGCTAACCACTGGAGATAAAAAAGGAAGGTGAGAGGAGTCATGGGGACAAAATCAACCTCTGATACTGCCTGCGTTACCGATCTTTGAAGAAAGCATTCAGAGGTATCTCGAGGAAAAGATAGTTTTATATTGTAAACATTTGCAATTGCTCAGAAGACAGTTACTGCTATTAATTTAAAGAAATTTATATGATGAGAGACTGAAGTAAAGGACGAAATCAGGTTTATTAAAAAAATACTTTACAGGAAAAAAATCTATGCATTCCATTGTACTATTTTACAAAGAAATAGCTTAACAGTTTGACACGCTTGTACAGTCAGCTACTAAAAGAAATACACTGGTTAGAGGATTATTCACATAGAGGTTCTGTTTACACTACACATTATAAAAACCTCTTTAAAACTTTTCTGTTAAATGTCAATAAATATACTAGGGTCGCACAAAGCAAACAGTCTTCCAGGCAATTGTACATGTCCTCTGTATGCAGACAACTTAGATACATTTAAACCCACAAAAAATATATTAGCTGCCAATCAAATTAAATCACAAAATCATATAAGAAATCTCTTTACATGTTGTACAAAGAAATTAGAAGTATAAGTATTTCTTTAGACAATTGAAGAGTGCTATAATAATATTAGCTCCTCAGCTACATGTGCTATTTGATCATAACAATTATTTATATTACTGGAAGGTAATGTAAGGCCATAACATTGTTGGGAAATCTTCTTTTAGACCAACGTAAGTTAATTTACAGTACAAGCCTTCAGGTGAAAAAAAGGTCCCTTTTCAGGAGCTGAAGATAATATCTCTCCCACACCTCATGCCCTTTAAAAACAACCAATATGGCTACATACACTTAGCATTTATAACAATAAATGTAAAGTGCTTATCACTCAGTAAAATTCAAGCATGTGAATGGCAGAATGAGCAAAATGAAGGTCTTGAACTCCCATCCATCCTGCAGCTCTAACAAAATAGAATTATGTCAAGAGACTGGGACTAAGTACTCACGTAGGAAAACAGTTGACAGATTAACTGTTTTTCTGTGTGGCAAAAGGTATAGATTAATAACGACTTTATTACATATCCCCACAGAACACTTTAGTGAGTGGTCCATCTTCTTGGAAGA